TTGTTGTGCAACCTTCCTTCGGCATTTCCTTGTTGCTTGCCTTGAAAACTTACCATTTTCTGTGGTGCTGACGTGCAAATGCTGCATGCAGAGAACTCAACCTCCAAAATTTACTAATTCTTCTTTGATTGTCGGTGCAGAGAAGACAGATGGGGACCGCGTGCTGGAGCCAGTGGACAACTTAGTCAGCTCACCCAATGCTTACGGCGCCCTGGGCCTCATTTATGCACTGCTGGCTGTGCCCGCCGCCCTCTTCCCCCACACTGTGCGACCACCATGTCTTTTCCCTGTCACTCTGTTGTGATTCCGCGCAAGAATGCATGCATTCTGTGCCACAGAATGGAAGTCAGCCGGCGCTGTGAGATCTGCTTTCTTTTCATGCTCTTGCGCACAATATCATTGCACTCTTTGCCAATATTAGAGGCAGGGGGTGCTGTAGGATTTGGCATTTTCATGCATTCTCTTGCAGTAAGACATGGTCTTTGGCATGACACAATACAAAGCAACGTCCAGCAAACATGTGCTGTTCTGATTTTGATGTGTGATGAAGCTGAATCTGGTACTTGACACAGTGCGCTTGGTTCGGGTGCAGGCAGCAGACTTTCTGTTCGGTTCGGCTGCACAGCCGCACGACTTCTTGCACGAGCCGCTCTTTCGAATCCTGTCCTCCGGTCTGCTGACAGCTGGCATCACCTCCCTGGCTCTGAGGGTATGTTCGTCACTCTTCTGCATTGCAGAAATGTGCTTGGAGTGGGCAATTGTGCATAAGTGATGGGCCCCATCAGGAAGATACATCTGACGGGGCGTATGCAGCCCTTTCTGTGTGAACCTTTAGCTTGCTTTGTCTCACAAAAGGAGCTCTTCCTGTTGATAAGCTTGACTTCAATTCCTGCCATGAAACCTATCGCCCAACACAAAAAAATCTAGGCAAGGCCCTCCATCGGGGCGCGTAAGTCCTCTTTGGACCATCACATCAGGTATCTGCCCCTGGTTCTTGCACCATGACAAAGAACTACTGCATCAAATCAATAATTTTCATGCGCGCAGCTGGGCGCTCGCAGCGGAGACCTGGACAGCCGCACGAACAAGAGGCTTGAGATCGGACTCATCGTGTTTGCCACAATTAACACACTCCTGCAGACCACCACTGCTGCGCAGCCCAGCTCGGTGCTGTCATTCCCCGGCTTCTGGTCAACCGCCGCGCTCTTTGGGCTCACCATCGCAGCTGCATGGGGCGGGTGTGTTTACCTTTTTAACCCCTGATGGCCCCCTTCATCATCCTGTGATTTCTAGGTTTAGGGTGTTGTATTTAAAAGCTGGGAAGCTGAGTGGAATTGTCATATTATTCCATTTTAGATACGTATCGAATACTAGTGGACCACACATTTCTTGATCCTAGAGGCCTTCCTGCATGTGGCATTCATACTGCGATATTCCTATTTTGCGGTATTTTTCTGATATTGAGTAGAACGGTTGATGTTCTGTGCAAGGGCATTGCTTAGGTAGCAGATCATTGTCAGTAGGCGAACACTGCCACAATAAGCACAATGTATGCTGTTTTGTCAGTGCAACAGCAAAGAGTCCTATGAAGATGTCAACAACATAGTTTGTGCTCATCGCTGCCAAATGCTTTGCAGCAGCCTGGCGTACCTTGTCATAGATGGCAGCAGCACTGCTTGGTGCTTTGAATGCGGGTTGCAACGTGTCTTAAAACTTGATGAACTGTTGGCATGCGTGACAGGTACGGAAAGGCATCTGAGTACGGCTTGTCGCTGAAGCGCGCCGGCCCTCTGCCGGCCCTGAAGGTGCGCAACTACAGCCTTCTCACGTGATCTGAAGTCCTTGTTATGCTGCACACTTTTTCCAGCCCTGTCAGTTTGTCAGTACATGTGTCCAGTTCCTGGACAAACAATCTTGGTGTGTCCAGCTTTCTATGCTTCGTAAGTTGCTGGAGAAGCCATTGGGCTGGAAAGTGATATGTATAGGCCGGGGTCGACATGTGCCTGACAAAAGGTCCAGGGGGAACGTGCGCTGGCAGTAGTGATCTGTGTGGAGGGAAGGACAGTTGGCATGTTCCGAGTGGGCACTGACATGTGTGTAACCTCGCTTGCACAGAACTTCCAGGACGACACAGCGGAGCTGGGAGGCACGGTTCGGAGCCCCAACAGCATCAACAGCGTCCTCTACGCGCTGCTCACTGTCAGCTTCTTCGGTGCCGGCGTTGGATACCTCTACGCACCCACCAGCACCCTCGAGGTCGGTTTGTGTGTCACATCATATCTTTTGCGTCTCTCTTTGAGACTTGGTGCATGTTGACATGTTGAGAGCAGGGGTGGGAAAACCCATATTTTTGCTTTCTGTATGGTCGGTTGCCAATCAGCATTCCTAATCTTGTGCCTCAGTGCAACATCGTGATTGGAATTATTTGCTGCCATCTTTCACGTTCTCCCACATGTTTGCTTCAGTAGAGCTTGCCTATTTTGGCCCTCAAAACTACTGCTGCATACCTTTTCTGCCTTGACATCTGGATGGCTTGGCCGGCCCTATGTGCCAAATTGTATGCTGCGTCACTGTTTTTTCATATTTTTCTACAGCATGGGCTTGCCTAGTGCACCTTCAAACTGTTGCAGAGCATTTGAACAATGAGCAAGACTTTGAAGCGCCAGGAGCTTGGCAGGCCCTGCATGTGAACAATGAGTAAAAACTTGAAGCGCCAGGAGCTTGGCAGGTCCTGCATGTGAACAATCAGTAAGACTTTGAAGCGCCAGGAGCTTGGCAGGCCTATAAATCCATGGAGTTGGCATGTGCTGCAGGCTGTGTTCAGCAGGGCTCAGGGCCCCGAGTGCATCTTCCTGTGGCGCGCCATCGGAGCCGCCCTGGTGTCCATTGTGCCAACCGCAGCCTACAGCCTCAAGGTGAGTCACATTTTGCATGAGTCATCTATTAAGCCCTGCTTCACACGTTGTTGCAGTGGCTGGCATGCGCAATCTTGGCTTGCTCGGGAGCATCCAAAGAGCACAACTTTTTTTGTCTGACGTGACTGTTTACTTTCAAGCATCCCTGCTTTGCTTGTCGTGTAGTAGGTTGCCCCACTTAAAGGCAGTGATGTGAGGCCTCAGATTTTCAGAGGAAATACTAGTGAGGTCTGCACCAGCAATGCATGTGCCAGTTTGGACGTGTTGGGTTAGAAATGAGATCTGCCAGCTGTGGGACTTCTCAGCAGCATGAAATATTGTAAATCTGCTGCAGGAAGCCTCGGACGATGGCTCACTGGGCGACGCGCCCTTCAAGCTCCTGAACATTGGTCTGTCTGGTGCCGCGCTGGCGCACGTTCTGGTGCTTGCACCACTCCTGGGCAGTGACAATGCAGGTCCATTGCTGCCAGCGCTGCTCGGAGTTTGGGGTACCTCTTTGGTAGTGTCTGGCGTTAACCTGCTGAAGAGCTCAGAGGACTAAGCGGCCTGCTTATTATCTGATTGACAGGAAACAGCGGGATTTTTTCTTGCAAGATGGACGTTTCACAAGACTAGTGACCTTTTAATCGAGGTTATATACGGCGAATATATGGCGAAAGGATGCGTGTTGAGACTTGGCAAAAGGATGTATCGAGAAGATGCTTTCGTGAGATGTACATTTTGGTGAAAGAAGGATGCGAGAGGATGCTTGTACAATGCATGTTGAGTGGTCTGGTGCTGCTGTGCATTGATCCTGTGGTTTCTTGCGCGGGTTTGGCTGAAAGAGAAGATTAAACCAAAGTTCTGGCTCAGTGGAGTCCTCTATCCCGCTTGCATGTTGGGTCTGACAGTGCACCATTGTGCGTCATTCTTAACATTCAGAGCCCTGTAAATATGATATTGCCTTGGAAGGTGGACTCATTGGGTAGACCCACATGAGTTCTTGCAGCTGCTTACAAAATGGTTGCGCAACACTGAGCTGTCGGCTGTTCTATCTTCCTTTTGTAATCATCCTTGAGAAAAGTTTGATATCCTATCTACTTGGTGATAGTCATCGTGGGTCAACGGTACGGATGGCATCTGTACTCTTACCAGACTGGCAATGCCTGTACACATCATACCATGAGATAATGACACCAATGGTTCACGTTTAGGAAAGAAATCACTCATGCATCCCGGAGTGCATGGCCAAAATTCTACAACCCACGGTCTAGGGCTGATTGGATGTACTGACAATTTCCAAGATCTGAATAAAACACGTCATGGGCAACATTGTTGTCAGCGTCAAAACTGTAGGTCTTATATACCGTTCTCCGAAAGTGTTCTCATGAGACAAGATGACGACGGCCCTGCTGCGTGGCAAGCTTCCCCCACGATGACGAAGCTGCATCAATTCAACTCGATTGCACTACAGTTCATATCGGAAGCATCAAAGCTTCCATTGGGCCATAATTACATCCTTGTAGTGTAGAGAGCACTGAAGTTAACAACGATGAAGGCTCCATTCTCGAAGGCGACGAAACACTTTGAGCCATTGTGGGAACCGTTCTCGACATCACTTGCAAAGGTCCAACACCAACATTTTTTGATTTCCTAATATGAAATAATCATATGGATAACATTAATAGACTTCACGCATGGTAGCTATCAAAGAATCTCCCGAAGGCTCTCCACCGATTGCCTTGTCGCCTGAAGCCGATGGGCACTCTGCATTGTGCCCTGCAGGCGCTGTTCGCAGAATTCTTTAGTACTCTGTTCTTTGTGTTCTTGGCCACCTCGTCAGTAACTTCGGGATGTCGCACGGCCGATACAGCGGCAGCATCCGGGAACAGTGCGGATTTGACACAGGGTATGTCCTTTGGGGCGAGTCCTTTAAGCCCTGCGCACCTGCCTTACAGCTAGCTCAGGCGGCAGCGCAAGGTCTGGCCTTCAAGCAATAGGTATTCAAATACAATTCATACATGTGAGCAGATATTTTAGCTTTCTGATGACGGAGTTTGTTGCGCAGCTGTCCCCGGCTCCTGCTTCCTGGCGAGCACAAATCTGCTCAACATCGCCATGTCTTTCGGAGGGGCCATCGCTGTTCTCGTTTATGCAGCAGCGTCTTTCAGCGGTGAGCTAGTGTCAACAGAGCCGATTCCTTCTCCATGATGGCGGATGACGCAGGCTGTGACGATATGCAGCGAAAATAGCCTCATATCACCTCATCTGAGACTGAAGATGTCACTGAGCTTGGAATGTGTTAATTTTTTGTTGTGTGTAATCGTTCCATTCTCGCTTGTCACCTTCCCACAAAAGAGCACTAATAAAATGTGTGATTTACAGGTGGTCACCTCAACCCGGCTGTGTCAGTGGCATTTTGGCTGGCCGGCAAGATCTCAGCTCTGCGGGCTGTTCTTTACATTGTGTGTCAATGCCTGGGAGCCTGTGCTGGATCAGCACTGGTGCTCGCGGTGAGTTCCAGCACTCTAGAGCTTACCAACCAAAGTTGACTTGACTTTTCCATGGTGTCTCTAGTACTTGACTCCTTGTGCTCACTGGGTACTGCTGTGCAGATCGACCATAATGGGTTCAAAGCTGCGCTGGGAGCCAGCAACAGGCTGAACACCGGCATCAATCCAGCAAATGCTTGGGGAGCTGAGACAATTCTAACATGCGTGCTTGTCTTTGTTGTCTTTGCCGCAACAGACACTCAGCGCTCAGCGACGAGCGGTCATCTCTCGGTGAGAAAACTCAAACCAAAGGATTGTGTCCTTGCAAATGCTTCATTTGCTACCGTACTGATGCTATTTACTTCATCAATATTGCAAAGGTAATCCTGTGCATGCATGCAGGTGCTAGCCCCATTTTCAATCGGCCTTGCCGTCTTCCTAGCACACCTTGTCGCTGTGCCTATCGATGGATGCAGGTGGAAAGTAAATTGCATTTCATTTCAGTGTTTCAGGCTCGCCTTTTTTTGTTAGGTTGCATATGGGCAGAGCCAATCATGGTGTCCGATCCTTTTTCGTAAGGCATGAGTGACAACCCAAAACATGAGAAGAATACTGAGGGGTTGTGCATGTGTGTTTTGCAGCATCAATCCTGCCCGTTCGTTTGGGACTGCGGCCGTGGCTCATGAGTGGACACATCAATGGATTTTCTGGTGAGTGCAGAACTCCATTTCCGTCCTGCAACACTGACCACTGCAGGTCATTGAAGCCAAAAGCAGTATGAAGATGTCAACGAAACAGTATAGACAAGGGCAAGTGATGCTAGCAGAGTTGACAGCAATAAAAAGCTAATCGATGATTGTGATGACCAGGGTGGGGCCCATTGGCGGCGGAATTTTGGCTGCTGCAATTTATGGCATATTACAGGTCAAGAATGAGCGGGTGCGCTGCCTGCTCTTGAAGCTGTCACCACGTACAACCTACTTGAAGTGCAGCTCATCAGAGCTTGTCATTATCCTGGCTCTACCTCGTGCAGACACTACCTTGTTATATTAATCTGTCCTTCACGTGTGCAAAATATCTGGAAGGCATGATATTTTACCTGGTGGAGGGAGATAGCAGAGCACGTTCCCTGTGCGCAGGACGAGAAGCTGCAATCTGAGTTGGGAGAGCAGCCGACGCTGCGCATGCCAAAGTATGCTGGAGCCCAAGGGGTGTCAGTGAGGCAAGGAATTCCTGACCGGGCGCTAGCTGGCGCCGTCTAGAGAACTTGAAGCTTATTAGAGGCCTGCACTTCTGCGGCAGGTTGCTGGTAGTCATTGCACTGTGACAGTCTGCAAGACATGGGAGGCGGTGCAAGCCTCCTGCAAAGGGTGTCTTAAGCTTACGCAGAACAACTTGAAAGCTCATGGTCTACAGAGAAGCGTACTATTATTTTCTGGTGATTACAAATGAGAGTGCTGATCAAAGCTGTCTCAATTTGAGAAGACAATATAAGAGGAAGTGAGTAACTTCAATTCTTCCCCAAACACCATAATTGAACAGACGACGTGTGACTGACGTCCACACGAAATAACCTAATTGTGTGGCCAAAGATGTCTGCAACCGGGTAGCTCAGGGGAATACACTAATGCATTTCACTCCAATGCACTCTGGACTCGCTCTCTCTCTTTCTCTCCAGCATGTCAAGAAAAACGAAGTGGCTTTTTCGAACTGCATGTCACAAAAAAATTTAAACTCTGCGCCCCCTCACAATCTATAACAAATCATGCAAACTGTAGCGGCTTTTGCAGGCGCCGCCTGGCTGTGTGCTCCTGCACCCACTTCTTGATGTGGGCGGCTTCAAGCAGGCGTGCATTGATGACTGATGCAGGGTCATCAGGGTGGGAAAACATCAGGTCCAAATGATGCGCTCCCTCCTCGATGAAAACCGCCACAACGCTATTTGAAATATCCCTTGTTATGCCACCTGGCAGAGCACATGGATTTGGTAAAGAGACGATTGGCCCATTAGATAATCCTTTGTCCTTAAGTGGGCCAGATTGATGATTGAAAGCAACTTACGTATGTCTTGAACAGCAGGAAAGCAAATGAAAGAGGCTATCACCTATCCGCCAAGGGTCGTACTCTCCGTTTGAGAAAACGATATTTGAAGCTGTGGAGAAGTCAAAGCCTCCAAGGGAGATGACGGGCCAGTCTCCAGACCCGCTCACATTGTACTGCTCCATGCAGTCCTTCCTTATCTGCTCCTCATCATATTTCCCTGCCCGCCTCACAACCAACTCTGCTCTCCGGAGCGGCCACTCTCAATTGTTCCATATTTGCGGAGGAGATGATAGGAAAGTCAAGAGGACAAGAGTCCAGAAGTGCAGTGAGCAAAAATCCTTTACACTGCTCTCAAGATCACGCCATACTGCACCCACCCCTGTAGAGATGGCAATTTGCGAGAATCAGATCAGCACCCATCGGACCACCTGAAAGTCTCACAGCCGCACAACCGCCATGCAATAGTAGTACAATCTGAACCCTAAATCTGAAGTGTTGCGGTCGCATGCATCAGAACTGTGCGCGCCCTGTGTTTTCATAATGTCAGCTTACGTACAAGCAGGAGTTATCATATGTAATATTTAGCCTGGTCTCAGCATGACTGACCAAGTGTTACGAAGAAATTTCTGATGCAATGCTCCACAGGAAACCCAAAACCCTACGTAATGGAGTGCCCCTGACTCACTCTACATGCAAATTCAGGGGTTTCAGACTAGGTTTTCACTTTTAGGGTTTATGATTTCTTTATATACCTTGATCCCAGAACATGTCGGTGCGACCGGTGGCGGGGTAGAAAGGCAGCTCCTGGCCGGCCCGCTCGGTGCACCACTGGAACATCCACGTCGCCCCTGGGCCAGCCGGCCCCACCAGCTGTGTCGCATTGTAGCAGGGCGCGTCTCCTGTGGCGTTGTAGAGCAGCCCCACAGCCGCCGCCATGCCCTGTTGGCACGAGCAATGTCAGGCGTGGGTAGGGATGCTAACGTAAGAGATTCCCCCACTATGATTACCAGTATTCTTGAGACACTCAAGAGTGGACCTGAAGACATGACTGGCTGTGCGGGCGCCAAAGAAAGGAGATCCTTTTGTATGGCGCCCGGCTACCATGGCCAACACCGAGACACCTCCAGCCAAGGACCACACCAGTGGCAATGTACCGTATCATGACATACGCTGTGGAATGCAGGAAGAATAGCAGTGCAAAAAGGATAAAGTATCACGCACCTGAAGCAGGTCTTCCTTGCTGGGCTTTTCATCGGCGAGGTGATCGCATGCTGCGCGCATGGGCCAGGCTGGCAGAGCGCCTCCCATGTAGGTGCTGGGGTAGGGGTAGTTGCCCATGGCAAAGGAATCAAATGCACCCTGGTGCGAAGCACATAATTCAGGCCATGTCTTTAGTAATGTCATACACCCAACCGGAGCATCAAGGCCCAAGAGTAAAGGGCCTTGCGGCTGCATAAAGCCGGATTGTTTGAAGCCAGAGGTAAGAAAAGATAGTCTAGAATGCTTAAATGGGAGACAGCAAAACCAAGCAGGTATGCTGCCATAAAAGAAGCAACAGACGCCAGTAGTGAAGCTCCAGTAGTAAAATGCCAATAATAGAAGACAGTAGTGAAGCACAGGAGAGACACTGTGCGCACCTGGACCCAGTAAGCTACATTCTCCACATCCTTGCCGCTCTCTGGGGCCAGGCAGAGTCTAAAGACATCTGCCAGATGCTGCCAGAAGCTGGCGCGCTCCTTGTCTGCCAGCAGCTCCTGAAAGAAGCTGTGTACGTTCGCCCGGCAGTGCTTTGCTGCGCCCGCCTCTGGGCTGGCATCATAGGTGACCACCTGTGCCGCATAATTGCCTGTGAGTTTTCAGGCCCCTTGGGAGAGTCTAATTCTATTCCCTGACAGTGCTTATGCATGTCAACTCTCCAAGGGTTGGTGCACCTGTAGAGGCACTTCACATGCAGCGCAGACGCAAGCAGGTACCAAAAAAAACCATGTATAAAACATGCATGACGTCACAGACAAGTTCCCTTCAGAGGGACCATTTGAACTCTTTTCTTCAGAGTTTGTGATATCTGATATAATTAGTCCAGATAGTAGCATTTGCGCACCTCCCAGAAGTCGGAGGGGTTGAAGTCTGGGTTGTGCCGTGACACATACGCTCCCACCGGGGCAGAGCCGGCAATGGCCCCCTGTGCAGCAAGCTCATGACATTTGAGTCTGGAACACTGCATCTGCTAGCCCAGAAGGGGCAGCACACAGCTACAAGACCACTAGTCACCATGAAATCTTCATGTCCACTTGCAAACACTCCACCTCAAAGAAATGCCCAATTCAAATGGGCCTCAGATCCACTTCACAACGCAAAGCCCACATGCACAGGAAACTAAGGCTTTTTTAGACAGGTGAAAGGCAGGACGCACCTGCACTGCATTGGGGTATTTGGCGCGAAGCCATGCTGCCAGCATTCCGCCATAGCTGCCGCCAAATGCGATCACGGGGCTGTCGCGCGCGCCATGCTTCTCCTTAACATGGTAGATGAGCGTCGCGAAGTCTGCCAGCGCCTGCTCTATGGACAAGTAGGACGGGTCCCTGTCAAGACTGCTGGGGCCTGCAGTGCACCATGCAGAGGACATTGGCCAGATCAACTGGAAGCTACTCTCAAGCTGCATGCGCATGCGCATGCTAGTATGATGTGTGCACGCAAATTAAGAGCAAACCAAAGGAAGGCCATCTCATTACATTACAGGGGACGTACCCAGTGGCTGGCTGTCTCCATAATATCGATGCTGCAACAAGTCATACTTCCTCAGCTCCTCCACAACAGACATCACAGTTTGCAAGTGTACATGCATGACAAAGGATGCAAAGAGCGCACCTCAGCAAAGATAAGGAGGGCATTCATTTCTCTACCGAGCTCCCACATGAAACCAGTGAAGTTCACATAGACCTCCACAGCGTCCTCGTTCCCAGCTGCAACAGGGGATCTCAAGCTATGTAACGGTGGCTTACAAGGGGCACACAAGAAGCAACTTTCAAGAAAAATTCGACCACTTAATGCCGATCTAGACTGCTTTTATTTTATTGGGCCTCAATGACAGGCCTCAATGTTCTGTATCGTTGCTTAGTCAGACATGCCACAGCCCAATACTTGAAGGAGACACTCTCACCGTAAAAGAAGATGGGAGAAGCTTTCCGATCCTTCACATCAGTTTTACGGTATCCATCGTACATGTAATACTTTTGCGGCCATTTTGTTGCACCTTGCTGACTGAATGTGAAGTGATCTAACGTCTGGTTGAAGAAATGCTGACTACAATTGAAGACACTTGGTCTGTGATGGTCAAGCAGCGGCTTTATCCTATCATTTGAACGCCGAAAGGGAGCACTGCATTCACCAGGGATCGCAAACTCTGCAAGACATGCCGCAAAGATGGCCGTGATCGAGAGGAGTGCGGTTGTCTTTGCCATGATGGTCACTCTGGAAAACTTGACACATGAGATCCTAATACATTCAGTGTTTGCGGTGTTTAGAATTCGGCTTGGTAAGAGATGCTTCGGTCTGGTCTCTATTGGACATGACTTACTGCTGAGGTGTCGTCAACATGTACATGCATGCCAATTTGAGCAGGCAAGGCAGCAGCTAGAGCCTTGCACATGAGCATATTAAGACCAACATAAATAACCCCATTCATGGGCAAGCCTATGCGATTCATCACAAATAATTAAGGGATTCATTATCCCTGCCAGCGCGTGCTACAAGCGTTACGTTAATGAGAACGTTCTCTTGCAACTTGCTTGAAGCTGCGAGCAATTGCTGCTCAATGCAGGACTCCCATCACAACAGTTGGGATCAGCTTGGGGTCACGTTATTCCAACTGGATGTATCAATGCTTTTGAGTTCATCTCAGGGCTCAGGTTGCAGGCTCCCAGTCCACATTCTCATCGTCCTGGCTGGCTCCAGCTACAGCCTTGCTACGGCCCCCATCAGCCCCTTCACCTATCGGCTTGCTCGTTTCTGCACAGTGCAACACAATGCACGTCAGAATGAGCTTCACGCCCTCAACAATGCACAGGTGCACACTTTCAAAAGGTTCCTGATGACCTTTCAGGCTTGCATCAAGAGCATATGCAAAAGGAAAGCTTTGAAGCAGCAAATTCAGGAGGGCCAGCCAACATTCCCTCATGCCCAGGCATTGCAGAGGGAAACTCACCCTCTGCATTCTCGGAGTCGCTGCTGTCTGCCAGCTCAATGGGCTCTTCAGCTTCTGAGCCCTTTGATTTGCGCCCTCGGCCTTTGCCTCTGCCCCTGCCTCTGCCCTGTCTTCCTCCTGCTGTGGCACATTCCTCCCCCCGTCAACACTACGCAAACATGCCCAAAGACACATGCAATATCTCTCATGAGAATGAGGAAATGCATGCCAGAGATCTGAGCAGCAGCTCTACTAGATTCTCTTAGGAGTGGCAGCGGAGTGTCACCTGTTGCTCGGCCGCCGCGGCCCCGTCGGCCCCGGCCGCGCGCTGGCGGCTGCGTGCTGGGGTCAATCGCCTCAATGGCTGCCAGCAGCTCCTCGTCCGACTCAGATTTGTCCTCGCCAAAGACGCCTACCTGCTGTGCATCTGCCACAGCCCAGAAAGGTTGTTTACAAAACATCCTTTTTGGCAGCTTTTTTCTTTTTATTTTCAACATTAGCGTTCAGCTTTGGGGCAGAGCATTATTTCCCTTAACAACTTGTCGATCTTTTGGTCTCTGGCCTGAAGAGCACCACTTGCCGTGTCAGGAGAAGCACCCGGCTTAGCAGGTAACCTGGCTTGTTGATGACTGGATCGTTCAGCAATGTATTCGAGACCTCACGTGATGCACCAAACAATATTTTGCCATCTTGGGAAGCGGACGCAGCACTGCATCTTGGGGCAGCTGTAACGAGCACACCTGCTTGCGCAGGAGGCGCTTGTTTTCGGCCGCGCTTGCGCTTGGTTACAGGCTCGTCATCGGCGTCTGCCAGCAGCATGTGGGGGTTGGCCGTTTTGGAGATTCCTCTGACGGCCTTGGCCAGGCGCTTGCTCTTGATCTTGGCAAAGCGCTCGTTGAAGCTGAGGAAGTTGTCCATCGTCAGCTGCGCCTGCCGGGCATCGTACGCCTGCAATGAAACCATGCATCTGTTCAGATGAGAGGCAACTTTGACCATCTATAGCAACCTGCATGCATGCTTTGTTGAGCTGCAACTATAACTCAACCCGCGCCATCATGATGCCAGATTTCTCCAGATTCTATTGGACATCTCCCAGCAAGTTCTGTCAGAAGAGCAAAAAGCTGCAAGGTGAGGGTGTGCGGACCTTGAGGACGGGCTCCAGGATCTCGTCGACCTTGTCAGCGTTCCAGTTGAATTTTTCCTTGCAGAAGGCGCGCAACAGCTGCGCGTCCGGCCGCCCATGGGTGAAGCGCTCCTTCGAGTCGTCCACGCTCGCCTGCAGAGCACACATGCATTGAAACATCTGCTCCTTGCATCAACCATCCCAACCAATAAAGTCTTACAGCATGCAGTCCCCCAAACAGATGCATCCCATTCGCATGGTCAAGACATCGATATCCTTTTAGAAAGCAGAGCGCAAACGGCGCTTGAAGTGGCTTCTTCAAAGATGTGTAAGATGGCACAAGAGCAGTCAGGGTGAAGAGACTGTGTAAGGTTCACCTTGCGGTAGGCCTCAATCACACGGATATCGGGGAAGCTGGCGGGCAGCTCCCAGTTCTTGCGCACATTACGGTGCTTGCGCTTGTACTCCGCAATTTCCGGGTCGTCCCCCGCGTACGGATCTGGCGGATCTGCCTCCTGCTCCTCATCTGCACACGCCAGATGATATCATGCATGCCTGACTTTGCAATTCGATCTACACTGTTGCAGATTGTATGGCGCACATATTGAACTTAACTTAATCAAGGAGATCCCTTGCAAATATCAGGATACCAAGCCCAGATCTCTGTCCTTTACTCATGGCACAGCTTGGAATGTACACGCAGGAGTCCTTCGGCTCCGGTCAGCACCATCCCAGGGGAACTACCTTGAAAATAATTCAGGAAGACAGTGTTCTTCCTCTTCTGACAATCACTCTGGTATTTTGTGCAAAGAGGAGGAGTACCAGGCTCGTCACCAGGCTTGGGCTGCTTTTTGCGCTTGCGTTTGCGCTGTGGGCGCACAGCCGCCAGCAGCTCCGCCTCGTCCGGATTCATGACCCACTCCCGGAACTTGCGCAGGCCGTCCTCCTTCTGAAAAGCCTTCACCGTCTGCAAAGTACAGCAGGGCACATTTAGAAGCCATTCATCTGACAAGAAAGAGATAAGAGATAGCTAGAGTAGCAGATGGGCAGAAACCCTTGCATGCAGGGACAGCAGTCAAGAGCTTCAAAATGCATTCCAGTCCAGACCCCATTGCAAAAGAGTGAATGCTAACAGATCCGTCCCGGCCAGCCGCCGTGCATACTGGCCGCCGCACACTTCCCTGCATTGTTCCATGGCGTGACAGCCGCTTAAACTGAGCTGCTTTAGCAAGCCCTCATTAGGAGCGTCTACTGCGCCGTGATGACAATGCATGGATGGGTCCGCTGCGCAGCCTGCATGGCGGCAGGCCTGGGTCCATGGAGTCTGACATGCACAAGGCAATTCCAATATACACTATGACACTTGACTGCATGTATATACTCTGATCAGTAACACTCCTATTAAGGCCGGGAGATGTTTCCTTTGCGGATGCACTGCGTCCACACCACCAGGCAGCCGCTCCTCCCTGCTTGGCGCTGCACTGCCGTGCACGTCTTGCATGCTGTCATCTGTCATTCTCTGTGATTTTAGATTCAAAATTGAAAGATCACACCTCGATGGCGTTGACGATGCCGATGCCTGCAACTCCCTCGGTGTAGTCGGAGCCCAGCAACAGGGCGAGCGCGATGAGGCCGTCCTGGTCCAGGCCCAACTCGCGCTCCACGTCCTCCGTCCGGTACTCCTCCACATACTTGCGATTCTCAAATATGTGCCTGCGCAAAATAGGCAATTGGAAGGGGGAATACCTGACGGCGCCCCACGCTTTCACATGCAATGTCAGAGATAAGCCTGCGCGCGGAAAATGAGATGGGCGATCACAGGGGTGAATGCGTGACGATGCTCTAGAATTGGACACGCAAAGATGTGCCTGCCCGCATGATACGGGCAACCATAGGGATGCAGCCATAATGCCGCTCAGACATGCAAGCAGCAAATGCATGCCTCAACTTCTTCCCTTGGTGATTTTCAGAGTGCTTGTGCCACAGGTGCCTGCAACTGGCGATCCTTGAGGTAGTGCAATAAGCAGAAAGGAGTGTCTTCGGGGGCATGATTATCTACTGGTGCTCAAAATATTCGATTTCCCTCTGAGAAAACAAGCTCTTTTGAGGGTGCGCACCTGTAGACGTGCTTGGCGCCAAAGAGGAAGACGTCGTTGTCGTCGGTGACCACGCCGTCCACGAGGCCATTGGCGTCCAGCCATGCGCACTGGGCCTCAGCCTCGCTGGGAGCGATGATGTAGGGCAGCCCAAACAGCTGCAGCAGCTCCTGGCAGTCCCCGTACATGTCCGTGGTCGGGGCCTCGTTTGTGCCCGCCGTCCGCTTGTTGGCCGCCCGCAGCGTCTGCGGCCACAGCAGACATAGGATTTTAACGGCCATGCAACGTGAGCCCATGCAACATCCAATCAGCCTCGTTGGCTGGCAAATTTTGTAATGCATCTTGTAATGCTTTCTTTCTGTCTGAGCCACGCAACCTGCCAGCAGAGAGGATGCAAAGCAAGCATGGTTCCACAAACGGGCAAGTGAAGGATGACTCCCAACATGTGCCACAACTGCCGCACACAGTGTTATGGAGGGTATATTGGCCAGAAGGGATGCTTGCAGCAGATGTTGACGGCCAATTCGTGCGATATTTGAACAGGCTCTGAGGTGCTGTGCACCTTTGTCTCTTTCTCCAGTGCTGCGAGCTCCTCGTCCAAGTCGAACGCCGGCACCTCTGCCTCTGCCGCCTCTGCCGGGGCCGCCGGCGGAGGCGGTGGCGGCTGCAGCTGCAGCTGCGCAGCGTTCGCCGGCGGAGGGCCCTGCCATGGCCTGCCCTGGCCGGGATCCTCCCATAGGTCCCCCTGACCCCTGCACATACACCAGTACCCCTGAGAGTGACAAGAGAACAAGTGGAGCTCCTTACAGGAGTCTTTTATTTGAATTGCATGGCTGCATGCATCAACAGGAAGGCCAGCAGCACACTGCACGATTGTAAGGCATGATGCGCAGTGGATGTGCATGCCTGATGCACGCAACAGCCATTTTGGAATTTAGCAGGGAAGTCAAGATGCCAGATGCGCACCAGGGATCGTGGGCCCAGAGGTCTCTGCTGTACTGGACCGGTGACTCAGGGGCAGCCGCCTCCCCTTGCTCCCCCCTCAGCCGCTCGTCTTCCTCTGCTGCACGTGCCTGCGCCTCCTCGTCCGGTGCTGCCGATCCACGCTGTCCTGCCCTCTCCCCTCCCTCCCTTCCAGCTGCACTGGTGGGTGCACTGGCGCCGTTGACTTGTTCCTGTGGCTCTTTCTCTGCCGCAGCACTTGCCGCTGCAGCCGCTTCTCGACCGGCAACTGCTGCACCGCTCGGCCGCCTCGGCAGGGGCGGTTTCTGCCGCCCTGCTGCAGTCCTTGCAGGGGCCTGGGCTCCAGAGCTGGCTGCTGTCGTTTCAGCAGCAGATGGCCGGGGCAAAGTGGCAGGAGCTTCCCCAGAAGTGCCGCCGCTTTCCTCCTTTTTTAGGGGCGCGGCTGGAATGGCCTGGCGGCCGAGCAGCACGGGGATGAGCGGCATTTTGTCCTCGGGATCATTTTCCAAAACAGGCCGCCGCTCCCCAAACATCCCTGGCCTTGTTCCACCAACTTCTGCGGGAGCCGCCTGTGGCGCATGCGCTGCAGCTGATCGACTTGCTTGCGTCGCGACAGCAGCTGGCTTTGCGGCATCAATCGCTGCACTTCCAGACACCCCGACAGCTGATGGTGCAGAGCGGTGCCTATCTGTGCTGGGATGCTCAGTCCTGGGAGCTTCTGCCTTCTCCTCCTCCTCCTCATCATCAGAGATGACCACTTCGTCCTCCGCTGCCAGTAGAGCCTTTCTCAGCGCTGCTGCAGAGGCGCTGTCCCCAGCTGCTGGATCTACCTTTCTCCCGCCATTGCTGACATGCGCTTCAGTCCCATCATGCTCAACCTGCCCACTGCGTGATCCTCTCCTGCCCGTCTGCTTACAGCTCTGCCCACCATGAGCCGCCAGCTGGCCTGCTGAAATCTTACTCTCTTCGCCTTTCGCATTTCCATTCTGCCTTATTGAGCGTGGTGCATGCAATTGGCCGGCCTCTGCCAGTGCTGGAACAGATGTTGATACACCCGCCCCGCTGGCGTGAGGTTTGCCTTCTGAGCTCAGCACACTCGGCGGTGCGGCATTGCCGGGGCCTGCCAACCGCTCAGCCGAGACCTGGTTGATGCGGCTGTGGATTGCGCTGCTCTGCGGCTGATTACTGCGCGCTGCACTGGCTGTTGGCAGAGCTGATCCAGAGGGACCAGCCACGTCAGCTGCCTGAGCCTGCTCCCATACAAGCTCGCCCTCATTGTCACTGGCGTCGCCCAGCTTCACGTCCTCTGCTGCACCTGCATATTGTCGCAGCCAGTCAACCGACATGCCTTCCTTCTTAGAATGATCTCTGTGCCTCTGAGCTTCCTGCGCCACCACATTCGGCTCCTATTGCTTTAAGTGCAGGTGCTGCTGTTCCTCTCATATTAACCCATGAAGAGGCTATTGAACCCTCTTTATAGAGTGTTTGTGTATACAATCAAAGTATCACCAGCAGCGTCCAGGAGGCTGCGCCGGATTGCCTCTTGCACCAGCGCATCCTCTGTTTCAGGGTCCGCAGCGGCATTCTCATTGTCGCCATCTTCGCCGTCATCAAGCCCGCCCCAATCGGCGAGCTTGCGGCCGAAGCGGAAGCCCTGCGACAGGCTCCAGTACTTCTGCCGTTGCGCCTTGCGCTCTCGCCAGTCCGCCGGCCGCTTGCTCACGCTCTCCGTCACATCCTCCTGCAAAGCCATGCATGTGCCAAACTTCAAGCGCTGGAATTGACCCAGCTGGTATCACGCGTCTGCTTCTGAGACCAGGCACATGGGTTTGGATACATCCACTAGGCTGCGCATTCTTATATATTATCCCTGACATTGCATCCATAGACTCTGAAGCAATAATAGGGGCCAGGCTGCAGCCGCGGAAGACCAAATTTCCATGCAAAAGACGCGTCAATCCCCAGCAATGCAATCATCATGTCCCGCTATAAACACAAAGTCAATTGCTCGCACTTTTTCTGCTGATACCGGCTCGCCGGTGTCAGCGTTCTCCCATTCTTCCTCTGAAGAGGCATCCGGCTTTGGCTGCGGCGGGCTGCTGAACAGGAGATCAGCAATGTCCAGCCCGGCTGTGCTGGGAAGGTCCAGGCTGATCTCCACCCCACTGCTAGCAGCTGCTGCGCTGGCAGCTGGCGCTTGCGTGGAAACGACCGCACCTATTGCCGGCTCCTCTTTCTTCTTATCTTTCTGCATGTTGCACAAAACACGTGACCGTCAACACGGCAAGGTCACTGGAATGTTGTACCCTGAGTCAACCGATCCACAATTGACAGTAAGAGCTCATCTAACAAGATATTCAAATGGAAGTCTGCAGGTGATGGATAAGATAGAGATTCACCTGCAGGATGTACTCGCGGCCCTCATCTGCTGCAATGCGCCGGGCGACAGCGCCACCAGCAGCCGCACTCGCATTCAGCGCATCCTTCACACCTTCTATCTTCCGCCTGCATGCACATCCAGGCAGAGTCTGCCTCAGCCCCGATATCTTGTGTATCTCACTGATTGCCTGATGCGATCCAAATGCTGAGCAAGGGAGGGCAGTCTGCTTGCAGATTGTGGATGATGTGTAAAGAATTCACCGCACCTGAAAGCACTGGCCTTCAGGTATTCCTGCATCTGCAGCGTGGAGAAGCTGGTTGGCTGGTTTGCATGCCGAGCAAACCTCTCCCTGTTTTCGTAGATCTTGTTATCACGCATCTTTGTCAGCAGATCCAGCTGCATGCAATCAGCACAGCATTGTCATGCCAGCTTCTCGGTGCCATTTTTTGCCATGAACTTGTCCTCCAAGGGGCTGTTCAAGGGTGTCGTCTTGTAAGATAATACTTGACTTGTCAGAATGGCAGTGATGTTGCACTAATGTCATTACCTGCATGCTGGGCGGTAGAGTTGACATGACAACAGGGTCCAGCTCCATTCCCTCTGGCACGACAACTTCCTCATCTTCCCCTGCCTCATCATCTTCTTCCTCTCCTTCCTCTTCATCTTCCTGCACCATACAACTCCTGGTCAACCATCCGCAAGCCAAAATCTACTCCAAAAAATGGCCGGAACAATGAGGCTCTAAAACATCGAGCCGGGGTCCATGATGCAAGTTGTGGGAACCACTACACGACGAGAGCCCATGTGGGGGCAGCCACGTATGGGGTGAGGACCTTGCGGCTTCACAGGCGCCACTTGTTGTGGCTTGACTCGATATGTTCCCCGCACAATGAGTAACCCGCCAGCAATATGTGCACTTCCTGTTTGGGGCTGTGAGTATGGAGGGCTACCTTTATAGTGGGCAGATTGGATGTCATGGCCTCGACGGCTTGCAGCGCCAGCCTCCCCACAGCCTGCGCATCGCCTGCCTCCAGATGACTGGCCATGTCCTGCAGTATAAGACAGAATCCACAAATCAATTTCCAAATTTTAACTTGTAGAATTAAGCCTGCTCTGCTGGACCGCACGAGGACAGAAGGGGAGCTTGGCCCCTTTTTACTCAAAGGATGCTTGAACATTAAGCTGAGTGGAATGTTAAAATCACCTTTGCATAAGACCCCCTCTCCATCTCTGCAGCCAGCTGTTGGGCCAGGAGCGCATCGCCAGACGTGTCCGGAAGCTGACTGGGGCCTGCTTCCTCCTCTTGTGACCCGCTGGCTACAGAAGCTTGAATAAATTCACCACCTGCGGCCGCCTGTGACTCCGCAGGAGCAGCGTCCTTGACTGCGCCTTCCTGCGACTTGGCAAAGAAGCATCAGCTATAAGGATACTGTAGCTCAGGCCTACTTGGACAAGAGAGAATTAAAGCGATATGCTGACATGGCAATTGCACAATTTGCGACAGAGTTGCCCAAGTGGTAAGGCTAGTCACTGAGCCACAGCAGGTTGTGTATGATGCGATGATGACATAAGCTACCCTACAGTAATAATCATCCTTTGGGCATGATAAGAATCACCTGCAGGTCCATCTGCAGCGCATACTTCTTCAACTGTGCAAGCAGCAGCTTCTCTGCAGTCTTGCGCACTTTTGCGGTCTGCTGCTCCCTCCGCCTGCAGCAGCATAAACATCCAGCAGGATCTCATCATCGGTTTCTGCAGCACCCTGTCTCACTTCTTTTGAAGTGGTATCGGTCCCTCCAGTACCATACACTGAAGCAGGCACAGCTCCCTTATATTTTTACACTGCCACAGATACACCAAACTGTTGCTTGACAGCGGACCTGCGGCGAGCGATGGTGGTGCGGCGTTTGAGTGGGGGTGTGGCTCCGTCAAAAACAAAGATTGGCCTGACGCGGTGGAACAGCAGCCTGCAATGCAGAAGCACTTTTAGATGAGAGAGTCTGTCTGGACTACCTGTCCCTGTGTAATTTTATGCACTCCTTTGGCATGCAACACCTCAGTCATGGCTCCAACCTGCAGATGCGCCTCAAAAAGCCGACAAGATGGGCATTGCGCAGCATCTCGCCCTGTGCGTCGCGCATGGTCTGCATGAACTGGTAAATCCAAATTGACGCATCTGGATCAGCCACAGATACTTGATCAGTCCTTGATGCAGTCTGCAGAACCTTGGAAAATTACAGGAGGCCCAGTAAAACAGGAAAGGGCACGGAGTCATTCAGAAAATGATCGACGATGGTGCACAGACTTTTATCTCTTTCCCGATCAGATTTATGATCAGGACAGACACCGGCATCTTCACCTAGATGCCAGGATTTTCCGATCGAGTCTACTCACCCACGGCAAGACGCTTGTTGGTCAGCGCCTCTATGTTCACACGGCGACCAACAGGCTCTAGTAACACCCAAAGTCCCTGTACTCCCATGTCTGTTCTCTAATTTAGGTGCAGATCATTTTGTCAGTGACAAAGCACAGTCGGGCCGCAATACCCTAGAAGTTCGGGAATTGGAATTCACATCCCAGCATACTCGAAAAAAAATCAAAAGGTGAGAATGAACTAATTGGTATGATCAACATTGAGCTTCCCAAACTCTTGAAGCTTCCAATGCCCAGCGCCTCGGCATTTAAAGCTCTTGAGGGTATCCGCCATGCAATGGTAATTTGGTATCGCTCTTCTCCAGAATTCTATCTTTGCATATCGGCATCCTATTCAAGATACTTTGGTCCATCTTTAGATTGCGCTTTCTACGCTGCACCTTGGAAATAATAGCACCTCACGCCGAGTCAAAGCATCTACCATCAAAGAAAAGCCTCTCACGTATACTAGTACTTAAACATCATCAAATATTTGTTATGAGGTCCTGGGATAGTGCAATATTGATAGTACTAGTCACTGCCCTCATATCTGCCGTAAGCAGCGAAAGCACTGGGTCTAGATCAAAGGGCTTTACAGTGCAGGGGAAGCTGATATGGCCAGGTAAGTAATCTTGAATAGCTTCAATGTCATGGCATAAGGCACGCGAACACTACATCGTGTAGGGAGCGTCTGCATGCTTTCCTCAGACACTGGCAACCTTCAGGCTTTCCTATGGATCAATACTCTGTTCAGCCAAATCTAATGGGGCACTGTATTATGCAGGTGATATCATCAGCGCAGCCAGTGTGAAGCTGATCTTGAGCACAGATGGGACGATCCAAAAATACGCCTGGCCACAGCCGGATGGCAAATTTGCCATACACAACGTGCCCGCTGGCTCACATCTTCTGGATGTTGCAGCTGTCGGTCTGGTTTATCCACAGGTACGCCAGCAACCTGTGGTGAATCCTTGCATTGCGGATCCCACATTGCGCCTTTGCTTCTGAAGAAGTTTCGTATCCATGCTGAAATGAATATCACATATCTGCAGCTGCGATTGGATGTCAGCGCGCAAGGAGGCGGCCGTGTGCTTGCCACACTGGCAGACAATGACTTACAGGTGCCAGATGATACTGCTTGCACATGATTGGTCTGGTGCCCAACTTTATTTTCCATTGCTATGCTGCATTCACCCGCTTCTGAGAGTTGCCTGTGCTGCAGCGGCTGCCGGAGCCTCTCATAATCAGGCCTGTGGGAACAGCAGATTACTTTGAGGTGGGGACAAGAATGCTCTTTGCTGTTATAAGATGTGCTATGCCATGACATTTGGAAAGATGACTATAACCATGGTATTGAACACTGCATTCTGTCCGTGTGCCACAGAAACAGGCGCCATTCAACCTCATCGGCTTCCTGAAGACGCCCTACGGCCTCATGATAAGTGCGCACCCAAGACATCAAGTCACCTGATTCTTGGAATCACACATAATATTCGGCCTACTCACCTGCGTCAATTGAAGCCTGGTCATTCATTGCGCATTCCATTTGTCATTTTGCAAGGTGCTGAGTAGCTGGATGTGTGCTGCAGTCTTTGGCGCGCTGGCTGTCTTTGTCCTGCCACAGCTGAAGGTTGATCCAGAGGAGTACCAGGAGATGATGAGGCAGAATGCGCCGAGCTCAACACCGGCTGTCACTGCCTCCCCTCAGCGGCGGAGACAAAATTGATCTGCATCCTTGTGCACAACACACATGTGGAGATTTGCAGTTTCGCTTTTATGCATTCATTTATTGCTTGCATGGTACCTTCTGTTGAACCTTTACAAGGCATTTTTCGCATAAAGCATGCCAGCTTCATGTTCACATTCCCGGGTATATTTTAGAGGACCGCTGTGGACGTTTTGGTCAAACGATTCCTAAAGTCCTTCAATGTCCTCAAGCTTGACATAACCTGAATCCATTACTTCGATTTTCAATCACAAACAGGTGCACATAAGAAGTACGGCACGACAGCAATGCTCAATTAATTGATATCGCAATGAAATAGCAGGACACATAAAACTCTGATACATGCACTGTTGACATCATGATGATCATACTTGGTCAAGAAAATCAGACTAATGGCACAGTCCCAACAATGCAATTCACTCCACATATTGCCAAATCTTCAAGCGTGATAGAAACACAAAGCATCAGGGAGACGTGACAAGTTGCGCAGCAGCTCTGCGCGTGACGATGCTGCGCACAACAGAGGACGGCTTCTTGTAACGCCGCAGCAGCAGCGAAGAGCACACGACCGACACAGATGACATTGCCATCGCAGCACCGGCCACCTGCACGCACCAACAAGCGCATAAGGATGGGCTTCATGGACCATCCAGAGGCAACAGATGTCCATCCCACTGCATGGCAGGTGCTTGTACAGTCCAGGCCTGCTCCTGCAAACTGCATCTCTTCCAGTAGCAGAAGAGATTCCTGTCAAGCCACTCAGCAGCCTACCACTGTTCCTAAGACCCTCCTCTGTGCTTATTGACCTGTTACGTGAGAGAAACCTGGATGAATACTGAGCATCTGTACAAACAACGGGGCACTTAGCATCAAGGGCAAGCTGCAGAGTGCCCGCAAGACAGTGAGAGGGGTCCCAGATAAGTGTGCGTACCCAGGGGGGCAGCTGGAAGTGGAAGGGTGGGTACAGGACGCCGGCGGCCAGGGGCACCATGAGCAGGTTGTAGATGAATGCCCAGCCGTAGTTGTAGTAGATGCGGCGGAAGGTCTTCTTGGACAGGTCCAGCGCCGTCAGCACATCCTCCAGGTCCGACCGCATCAGCACATAATCCGCTGCCTCCACGGCAATGTCCGTGCCTGATGCATGCAGCACAGCATTGGTAAGTAGACGCTCGCAGCATGGCTTTGTCAGATAATGAAAGCTTCTTTGCAAAATAGGGCAAATCCAGCTCTGATGTACATGGCAAGGTAAATCTTGTGGGGTCTGGCACGTTTGCTGGCTGCTACAGTTTTAGTGGTAAAAAAACCAATTGCAGCTTCCAGCCGCCTTCCCTCCTCTGGGCAAAGTTCTTGTTGGACCCCAGCCGTTCGCAGTAATGCATGCAGTGCTGCGCCAGGGTGTGTATCAAGCGTGCCAGTGGCAGACGATTTCAATTGTTGCAGCACCTGAGCCGATGGCGATGCCGACATCAGCCTGCACAAGCGCGGGTGAGTCATTGACGCCGTCACCCACCATGGCCACCCCCGCCTTGTGAGTCTGCTGCAGAGCACGCACCTGTACCAACACACAGATGCTGTTGAGTCACCACAGGGATAACCAGATCGAGCAAAGCTGAACCCGGACATGAATTCCTTTGCGAGCCTCCAAAAGACCTTCAGAGAAAAGGGTGAGGATGATAAATGGTGGAGGGTGCATACCACATCGGCCTTTCCAGCTGGCAGGACCTCGGCTTGCACGTTGATGATCCCGAGCTGGGCAGCCACGATGCGCGCGGTGCGCCAGTTGTCGCCCGTCACCATGTGGCACTGCATGCCCATGTTGCGCAGTGCAGAAACCACCCCAATCGCCTGCGTGGTCATGCCACGACTTCAGGACTAGAACATTTTCATGACACATAATCTCCCCAGCACGTCATTGGTGAACAATCCTTTCCTAGTAAATGAGACTGCTGAGCCTGCCGGGTCTAGCTGCCCAGTTCGCGCTCGGCAGGGATGTTGCACATCAGAAGATCAGCTCCTGAGCACTTGATAAATCTGCTACAGTTGGACAGCTATCTCAAAGGCCACAAAAAGGAAGGCAGGCACACCTCTGGCTTGAGCGGGTCTTTGATGGCAAATGCGCCAACCACGCTCTGGGCTACTGCCACCAGCACGCACGTGGCGCCCTGGCCCTCCTTCTCCAGCATGTAGTCCGCCACATCCCTGCACAGCATCCGCCTTGATATCAGAGGAGCGCTCAGATGCAGCGATGCTGGGCCAAGCCACGTATGGGCAGTCATTCTCACTGAAAATCCCACATTCAGATATTACTCATCGCTAATATTTGGTCTTCAGTAAGGCGCACAGGGGCCACCAGCCTGCTTATGCACTTGATAGTCAGAACGGCAGGCCATGCAAACAACTAGAGCATAGCCGATAGCGGCACAATGTGTACAGATGAAAATTCCCCAAAAAAAAGAAAACACGCCTTGAGACAGGCACGCCCTCGTCGGCCATCAGAGCGCGGTTGCCAACCAGCACGCGCACTTGGCTCGGCTGCAACCCCACGGTCGCCAGCGGCGCCGCGGGCTCCACCCAGCACCGGACGCCGCGGCCGGCCAGCGCCTCCGCGTTGTGGGCGCGGCGAATCCAGGCCGTGTTCCTCAGGCCCTCCGCCTCATCTTCCTCCACGTCGGACGGCTCCCCTGCTCGGCAAGTTAAACTTGAATTTAGCGATGGTGAATATGAAGGGTGATACCAATTGCCCAGGTAACCCTTGCAATGGCATGCATGTGGGACCTCGATACTTTGGGATAAAGCTAGTGAAATCTGTCACACGCATATTGTCCACACTTGGCTCAGTGTTGGGAAGCAGCTGTGCATATAAATGTGGGATGCAATAGGGTCTCTCACAAACATGACCTGTGCCACATGAGTTGCCATGAAAGACTGCGTGAGAAGAGCTGGAAGCACCTTGCGAGCCCAGGTCCAGGGTTGAGGAGGCAGCTCGCAGGCAGCTGCGGGCATAGGCAAGCACTGCTCGAGCCAGCGGGTGCTCGCTGGAAGCTTCTGCTGCCGCCGCCATGTGCAGGAACTCCTCAAAGGCCAAGTCTGTGAGCACGTCATTGTCATCCATAGGTATTGCCTGACCAGGGAGAGCGCTTACAAGTTTGTCTTCCTTGAAGGTTGAATTCGAGTCCCTGTGCAAGGCAACACAGGGGACTACCACAAAAGACCTGTACCTGCCGAGAAGAGGCTGTGATCGGTCACGGCGGGTCGGCCCATTGTCAATGTGCCGGTCTTGTCAAAGACAATGATCCTGACCTTGTTAGCTCGCTCCAAGGCATCAGCACCCTTGTGAGCAAACAGCATAGAGTATTGTCAGCAGCACCTCTGTGATGAGCTTCTCTATTCAGATTTGGCATGTCACGCCAATGCTAAAGCAGTGCTTCTGTATCGCCAGGAATTTAAGGAAGGGCTTGGTCTCTAGCGCCTCCCTCCTAAAGACAGCGACGGGTGACTGCTGTGCTTCCACCTTTACTGCTGCCGCAAGTTGCTTGCTGCGGCAGCCAAGAATGGCGGAAGGGGCCGCTTTTACCAAAACTTGTCAGCCTTGGGCAATGCAAGAAGACACTACCACGAGTCCCTAGACACCTGCCCTTCTGATCTGACACTTTGCCCCACTACCTTAATCAATGCCTTATTTTTAGGGCATGTGTGTGACTTGTCTGGCAGTCAGGCTGATCATAGCTCTGCATGCCTGCACAGGTATTACACACTGTGCCATAAGAGCCATACCTTGATGAGGATGCCATTCTTTGCAGCAATGCCGGTGCCGACCATCACAGCGGTTGGTGTGGCGAGCGCCAGAGCACACGGGCAGGCCACAACCAGCACTGCGATGCCAAACAGCAGCGCAAACAGGAATGCGTTGCTGCCCATAGGGAACCACTCCGCTGGGAACGCCCCTGTCTCGCCTGGAAAACATTAGCAGTGTTTTGTCACATTCTCACACCTTGTTTCTTAGAACTGTTCAGTATTCTCCATGAACAGGCATTCAACGCAGAGCAGGCAGAATCTGTTGCATTTCAAAGCATACCGCCTACATTTCGCAGCCTCAAAGATCTATGTAATGAAATATGATCTCACACAAGCACCCCACTGGCACAATGTACGCGCCTCCTGAGCTAGCCATGTCTGCTGCAGAAGATAGTGACTCACCAGCAACAAACCAGCCGAGCCATGTGACGAAGGCGACGGCGAGGATGATGGGCACAAAGACTGCGGAGATGCGGTCGGCCACGGCCTGAATTGGCGCCTTGCTCATCTGCGCGCGCTCCACTAGCCGCACTATCTGCGCCAGCGTCGTGTCGCTGCCCACACGCGTCGCCTGTGCCACACACATTAATTACTTGGGAGGCCATTCAGAATAATGCTCCAGCTTCCAGTCAGCTTGTACATTGCACAAGAGGTCCTGAGCAACCTAATTATTACATGAAATAGAGACCAGCGGACCCTTCCCCCTGGTCATTGCTCCAAGGCAGTGGCTTAAGACGTGCACATTCCACAGTGAGCAAGAAGCTTTGAAGCGAGCAAAGAAACGTATGTGCATGCGACAAGCGGATGGGTGCCACCTTGACAATGAGGGGCGCGCTGCCATTGACGGTGCCGCTAATGACGGCGTCGCCGTTGCGCTTGCCAACCGGCTTGCTTTCCCCCGTCACCATTGACTCGTCTACGTAGGAACGCCCCTCTACCACCTCCCCATCCGCCGGCACCCGCGACCCTGGCACCACCTGCCGTACCCAGCAGATCAAAGTTCAGCTGCAATGTGATTATTGTGGCATTGGAGAATTGGCAGAAGGGGGCAAGGATTATCACAAGTGAGCGATAGCCTGGCTAGAGCACGTGGGCAAAGTGGGGTGCAGCCAAAATCTCAAGGTGGACACAGAAGGTGCAAATGAGAAAGGAATCATTTGTAGGCGTCGATGCACATACAGAGCAAGCTATGACGCGAGATTGGCAAGGAGTGAGTACACGAGGATCAGGGCAACAAGCTAACCTTGAGGAGGTCGCCGCGCTGGATGAGGGCGGTGGGCACCTCCTCCTCAGACACCACCTGTCCGCTGCTGTTGCGGGTCACCAATGTGGCCGTGGACGGGGCCAGCTTCAGCAGCTCTGTCACTGCCTGCAGCCAACACACCATGTCAAAATTACACGACAAATTTTTGACCATGGGTGCAGGTACACGCACCCTCCAAATCACGTCCCTACGTACCGTGGGAGTGGATGCTCAACAAAATGGTTACCAAAATTGTTGGGCATGCTCAAGGTCGGACAGTAAGCGGGAACAAGCTCTTCAACCCTGCATGCTGTTGAAACTCAAAGAAGCAGGCAAGAAGGCAAGAAGCGCACGGACCTGTGAGGTCTTGCCCTTGGCGTGGGCCTCCAGGTACTTGCCGAGGCTGATGAAGGTTATGAGCAGCGCGGACGTCTCAAAGAACCCCATGTTGTCGATGTCCATGCCTTGCTCGTGCAAGGAACGGCGGTGGAGGACGGAGATGACTGAGTAGATGTAGGCCGCGTTGGTGCCCAGCGAAACCAGCACATCCATGTTGGCCGTGCCCCGCCGCAGCGCGCGCAGCGCACCCTTGTGGAAGTGCCAGCCGATGATGAACTGCGCGCCACACATACAGCATATTTGAAATCCTGGGTGCTATATCTGCAGCGCCCCAGCAGCTAGGCAGACAATGACAGAATTCCTACGCTCTAAGCCCAGGTTGTTGAAGCATGACAATTTTCTCACCTTTTCATTCGTGACCAATGAAAAGGTGCTTTGGACTTCCTGCCTTTCATGAAACTCACACGTAGACCATTTGAAGCACCTGCCACTTGTATGAAGCAAGAAGCGTGCTGTCTTGAAGACAAAGGGCAATGAATAAGACAGTCGCACCTGCACAGGCGTGGTGAGGATCCACTGCACGACTTCATTGACGGTGAAGCCGCCCACGTTGGTGTTGAGCCCCTCCTTGACGCCGGGGATGTAGCTGAACACCATGGCCAGCAGGAACACCGGCAGCGAGAAGGCGGAGGCAGCTATGACCATGCGCCTCCACATGCGGCGTTCCCTCTCCCGAACCTCCATCCCTGCTGACAGGTTGTCCGCCTCCAGCAGGCTCGCGCCGTAACCCATGGCCTTCACTGCCGCTATGATGTCCCTCGCGCCCACTATCGCCGAGTCAAACTCCACCTGCACGCACCCTGTGTCAGTGGCCTGCATTCCTTCACAAAAACCTTGCATCCTTTGTCACTTCCCTTTCTTTTTTTAGCGGATTTGTCTTTTGCAGACATAGGCCCTCTTGGCACCTATTGTTGGCGCAGTGAATTTTTGCTTCCGTCTCGAGTGTCAGTCCAACAAATGGGAGCAATGGGTGTGCAAGTCAGGCAGGGGCAGCAGAGAGCAACAGGGGAGACATGCAGGACCAACGGTGCAGCGATGAAGGTTGTGGAGTGTGCACCTCGGCAGTGTTGGTGATGAGGCTGACGGAGGCCTTGGCAACGCCGAGAGTGGCGCCCAGGGCGGCCTCAATGGCGCTGCTGCAAGATGAGCAGGTCATGCCGCCCAGCTGCAGGCGTAGGCTGGACGCATCGCCGCTGCCGAGCAGCTTCGCCTCAAAGCCCAGGGACTCCACCGCCTCTACCAATTCATCCTGCCAAAACAGCACTCTAGTCAGAAGCAGTGATGATGTATTTGGCCACTTCCAAAATTCCTACTCAGATCACCGAGTCTCTTATTTTGTCATGTGCTTTCATAGTTGCCGTCTGAGAGAAGACGCAGTGCTGTGAATATCAATCTGCACACTATTCTGTTAATTGCCTCCCAGCAATCAACAAAGAGTCCTTCGGAAGGCCCTGATCTCGCTGGGATTTTACGTATCTCTCAATAAGCCCCCACCTATCCATTAAAAGCATGAGAACACTCTTATGCAGCTGCATCAATTGTGAAGTTTGAGGGGTTCAAAAATGGGCGTACTGGGGTGACAGCAGTGGTGTCATACTCCACGCGGGCCTGCTGTTGGATGAGGGACACCACGGCGTTGCCCACGCCAGGCACAGCATCCAGCGCAGATTCCACGGCCGAACTGCAGGAGGAGCAGGTCATGCCAGACACCTGTGCAGCCACATGCAGGCGCAGCTCTGAGTCATTCTGATGGCACAGCCAGATGAGTCTGGCATGCCGTACCGTTTGTAGCATGCAATAGCTGGGTGTAGACCAGAATCCCCACATGCAGGTGCTGCTGAACAACAACTACTGAAATATGCACCACAAATCCAGAGGTTCTGAACAGGAGGAAGGGCGCAATTCCGCATGGGGTGCAGGCACCTGAAGGCGCGCCACATGGCGTCCTTCTGTGGCAGACCGAAGGCCCTTGAGGTCTGCAGTGTAACCAAGGTCCCTGACGGCCTCGCAGATTGCCCCAGTATGCGTGACCAGGGAATCGAATGTCACCTGCCACCAGGAACAAGTAAGTGTTCACCATGTGCAAGAACAAATTGCAGACTGCCTAGCGCTCTCCTGCAAGATCCAGGGGGATATACATGAAGGAAAAGACGCACCTCTGCAGTATTGTTGACCAGGGCCACTGCCACCTTCACTGTTCCTGTGTGCGCTTTCAGGCCGCTCTCTATAGCAGTGGAGCAAGTCGAACATGTCATGCCTCCAATTGCGAGCTGAAACAGACAAAAGATTGTGTTTTGCCACTTATAATCAAGCTCAAATGCCAAAACTGTCAATTTATCTGAGGAATGCCACAGGATTGAAGACTGATGGCGCTGTTCCAAACGAAACAAAATATCCATACAACCCTTCCAGGCAGGATACAAGGAGAAAAAAAGTTATTAAAAATTTCAGGAAGTCAAGGATCGGTGCCGAGCTTGACATTTTGGGCGCACCGTCGCGATGGAGTCGCCTTGTTGAGCAGCATTAGATATAGCTCCACCATCTGCTGAGTTCTTGCGATCAAGCAACCATTTCAACGATAGACGTTCCATAATCGCTGCGAGGACTGCAGGACGTCCTGCACAGCAGCAGGACGTGCTTCCGGAAATGCGCAAAGCTCGTGTCTGGTGCAACGTAATACGTCATTACCTCACCTGAAGGATCGCCGTCGGTTGACCGTTGCAGGGCAGGGAGAGATGGAGAGATGGAATGCTGCTGCTGGCATGAATGCTGGTCCCGCAGGAGGTTGTGGCGCAAATTATGAGAGCTGGACAATATTTGAATTTTCAACTTTGAGCAATGTGTTGCACCCTCGCAGCCCCTGAAAGTTCCTCAACACCCACATGTAAAATTGTCATATATACAAAATAATCCTCTCCCTACGATCTTGTCTTATAGATCTATAAAAAGGGAACACCTGTCCCTTTAGATTGATTGTTGGGGCTGCCTTTTGCTCTATAATTAAAGATGTACCCTTGTTGACGTCAAGATCAGTGCTTGGATAGAGGCCGGCAACATACCAGTAGACAATGCAACAGTCAGATCGTACCATTTATGTGGGTAATGTCGGAAAGGAAGTCGACGAAAATGCACTCATGGCCCTGTTCGGCCACTGTGGAACGGTGAGCTTCACGATCGTTTGTATGACAGAGATCTGGAAGCGCGAATTCCATTGCACTTGTGGTGCGAATGCGGAATGGACCAAATTTGCTGTATGGGTGGCGTTTGCCGTGAGTAACAAGCGGTAGGCGTCTGTCTAGAACCTTACAATTGCTGCAACTGGTGCAGGTAACACAGATCAGGATTGCAGGCGACCCGAGCTATGATACTCGATACGCCTTCATTGAGTTTACAACACCAGAAGAGGTCCGCCACTGTCATTGCTCTCGGCTTCCTTGTTTTACTGTTCTCCAGCACTGCACAAGCATTGTTCTTGTGTTTTTCCTGGCGCCCTCCCTCAAGACTGTGGCTGCAGCAAAGGAGTCCCCATGCACTAAACAATGTGCTTATATAGCAGGAAGGCCATAAGGACGGTTGTGTTCATGTCGGTGCAGTCTCAGACGGCGATGATGCTGGACGGCATGATGGTTTTTGAGCGGCAGATCCGGGTCAACATGGCGCGCGGGGGCTCCGGCCCGGGCGTTGTGCGCTCCAATGACCCTGACAGAGTGCAGCGCACCATTCACATTGGCGGCCTGCCCTTTGACGAGCTCTCAGAGGAGAGCATCTCCGATTACTTCTCCAACATAGGAGAGGTGGGCATTTCCGATCGCTGATACCTTACTGCTCACCTCATGTCTGAGTTTCACCTCTCATTTCATGCAGCTTAATATCAGAAGGTCACGCAGGGCCATCCAAAGATACACAGTTTGTCAACACAATGAAGTGCTTACACGAGGTTTCAACGAAGGGAAGGCTTCAAAGACATGTGTGAGCAGGTGAATGCAGTGCGCAAGAGCGGACGCTTTGCGTGGGTGGAGTTCAACACGCTGCAGGCTGCCCAGACGGCGATGTCTCTGGACGGCGAGTCCTTGGGCTCTGGCACAATGAAGGTGTCTGCCTCGAAGACGCCCATCCACACCGCTGGCTGGCGTGCTCAGGTTTGACCTTCCCACCTGGCCGCAAATTTTGGCTACTTCTAGAATTGTGTTTTTTTTGGTAGGTATTTACAGATTCCGCTGGGCTGCATGTGCGCTGGCCAGGTTGTCAGTCGTCTGTACAGTTGCATGCCTGTCAAGATGTCCTGGGGACACAGCGATTACATGGAGCAGGGATGGGTGTCAGTCACACAATTGCTGAAGGTCAGGCGATGTTTGCCCGCAGAAGTACCGGGACGCACCAGCTGCAGCCACGCCATCTGGTAACGCTGTGCCTCCGCCACAGCCGCCGCCCCCCATGGAGTACGGGCGCGGTCTCGGTCCGGCAGGCCCGCCCCCGGGCGGCTACGGGCCGCCGCCGTCAATGCCTGCACCTTCTCCTTCATACCCTCCAGGACCCTCTCCGCCTCCCCTGCCACCTTATGGAGGACCTCCATCCTATGGTGGCCCGCCCCCGCCCTACCCTCCATCCTACGGGGCGCCCCCTTCTGGCTATGGCGTGCCCCCTCCGCAGCCACCATACCACCGAGGGCCTCCTGCGCCGCCGCACGGAGCCATGCCCCCACCGCAGTACGGCCACGGGCCACCTCAGGGGTACTACTGATGCTTTCAGTGCGCACCCAGCTGGATTCCAGCTGCTGGAGTGTAGAGCACTCTTGTTTAGGCAACTTTTAGCCTTTTAAGTCCTTGAGCAGTTATCTTGGAATGTTATCATACCTCTGTGGGAGCACAGACAAGGAAGCCATTGTAGCATGTGATTGCGACACGTCGTGGCACATGCTACTAGCATGTAATAGTATTGACATATAGTGTGTTTTGAACAGCTTGGGCGCTTTATGTTGTTGGGAGGCCTGACAATGGACAATGGTTGTGTGCTGTTCTTATGAATGACACCAGCCCTTGCAACTTGCTGTTGCTATACTATTTGAATAGGGTTGACATTTGATGTTTTTGTTGTAAGCCTTACAGGGTGCAACCACACGTATGGTTGCATGAGCTGGCCAGATGTAAGTTTGCTGCATCTCCACAAACAGTCAAGCGCTTCAAGAGTTTGGCTTATTGTGAGGGGAGTACTGTGGGGAATGATCCTCTGGATTGCATGGCTGCACGCACATGTCACTGACATGGATAAAAACGTAGACCTGGCATCTTCACGTGTGCACAATTAAGAGGTGCAAGGCTCAGGAGCTCTCGGCAGGATAGACGCCAGCCAGTCAAAGATTAATCGAAACGCATTGCCATCGCTCATTTCAAACATCTCACAGCAGGATCACATTGCAGGTTTGATTGATGTGCTAAAGCATAAAGTTTCATCATGTAGTCAAAGCGACATTATTTTCCGCATCAGGCCATTATACTTACAGCCACAAAGTCCCACGAAGTCCAGGACTGCCTCAAAAAGCCATGCGGCAGCGTACATTCCATCTTGAATCTAGGAAATCATGATCAGCTGACAGATATGCAGCTGCAGGCGTAAGTTGTCTATCTAGTAATATAGACTGGGAGTCTTCGGCAATGGAATCACTATAACAACATCCGTGCAATTGACTCCAAACTACTGCTCAACTTCTGCTGCTGCTGCATGGCCCTCTGGCCCCTGGGCTGCTTCTGGAATGAGGTCTGCCATGTCCAGGTCCACCTTCCCTTGAGCAATGGCTGTCCTGAGTGCAGCCCTCTCTGCTTTCTGCCTCCTCCTTTCGGACTTCCCTGCATGATGAATATTTTTCTCGGCAAATACTTCTCACAACGTGTGAAGTGTTCCATTCTACAAGTGGTAGGCACTCCGATCTGTGTGTTAGTATGTCATGATGTAAACAACGGCGTAGGGTCGTCTGGCAGATCTTCACTAACATGGTTGTTTCCATCACGAGAGGCCGCAACGTACCTGTCCTCTGTCCTCCTACTTTGACCCTTAGCGAAGAAGCCTTCTCTTTCACGTGGCTGCGCTTCTTGGTACTCCGCAGTTTTATCTTCCTTTGCTTGACAGCGTTGCCACGGGGACGATTGAACTTGTTCATGATCTCCTGACGGCGATAGAATTGAATTTACTTGTCTAAGTGCTTCCACTCGGGAGTCAGATCATCAATGTTTCCAGCAGGTGTCTTGCAACTGCACTGCGCAACGGCAGACGTTCTGGGGGCTTGAATTCTTTCAATGCAAGATTTGAATGAAACGCAAAATTCCATTTGCTAGCACTATGCTTATTCTGGGGGAAACGGGAAAAGCGGTGACCGCAGCATGCTGACGTCGGAATGACGAGATCCGTTTACGGAGGCGTAGGAGACTGCGACATTTGGAGCAGACTCTCTCCTTGATCGACATTGAGGGAGACCTAAAAGTGCCGATCGCAAAGATCAAGTGATCTATCGTCCTTTCCGACTGTGATAGTGTAGAAGGCGATCTGTGCTTAGCGCATCGAGACCAGCAGGAGGTTTTGAAGGGCTCCAAGCAGCGTCGGAATTGACTGTAGTAGCTTGGTCTAGACCTCTGTGAGCCGTATACCCGTAGTGTGAGCGGCGCATAATATGCTTTTGTAGCTCTACAAAGCATCAGGATGGTTGGCGAGGCCAGTCCCTCGTCCAGCAAGGGCGCTGGGGAGCCTTACCACAGGAAGCAGCCATCCTACGGCTCGCTTGGGGACGATGGATACAGTGAGGGAGGTTCATTCAGTGGGAGGGACAGCTTTATGGATGAGAAAGAGAGCGGCATGCGTGGCTTCGATTACGATCCGGTGAGTTGGCCGATCCGGCGTGCAAGGTTGCAGGCGCGAGCATGTACCGGCGCTGTGACAAAATGAGGACAGCAAGCCGCCCGGATGCTTGCTGACAACTCATTCTGGACATGATTCGCAGGAGCATCCAACAAGACGAGCGCCGAGCTTCGCAGGATCAGGAAAGGAGAAAGGAGAGGGCATAGGATCGCTAGCTAGGTACAGAATCCCACCTCCTGCACGCATCTTGGCTCGATCCATCACCTGTAAAACCGCTTGGATGCCAGACAAATGATGACAAGATGCCCTAACACCGCTCAGGATCACATTCCGGTGTTTTCAGCGAGGCAGTCTGTCTTGCACCCTGAGTCACATATACAATATGGCAGCGCGCATTGCACTAAGTCTTGATACATCTGAGCCAGTGCAACGCTGCCAGCTGCAGATCTGTGTCAGCCACTGTAATAAGACCATTTTCTCTGGGCTGCAGGCTGGTGGAGGCTCTGGAAATGTATGACAACCCGCACATGGACTCCTACCTGTCAGACGAGCAGGATGGGTCACTGGGGGCAGGCCTGGGAAGCATACACCCGTTTGGAGGCATGGGCCTGGGCGATGACATGGATGGGGATGAAAAGGCGCTGCTTGGGGGCGGCGGCGGCAAGCGCAAGGTGGGCACGTCCAAGAATTGCTCCAAGAAGTCGACTATTTGAGCACTGGTGATGGATGTTCTGATGATGAGCATTTTTTGGATACGGCAGGAGCATGTATCTCCCAGCTTGCAGCATCCGTAGCACTGTCATGCATTTCATCTGGAGGCGTTGCAAGGACCTTGTTCGAGACACTGAGAATGTTTCTGTTAGCGGCAGGGGGGATACGCAAAGAGCTGCGACTCCTTCGGCTATGCGGCGGAGATGAACCCGAAGCTGAAGGGCAAGAAGGTGCCGCTGCTGGAAGAGGAGCCGATCGACGAGTATGTGCCGCCGCCCTTCAACGCCAATGCACCCGAGGTACGGGGTCCTGCACTGCTTTTTTTTGTGGGCACCAGACATATCTCATGCAATATATACTGAATCGTGCAATTGGCCGGCCTGTTACTTGTGTGCAATTGTCTGCGCCCGACATTGCTTGGGTGCAATGTAAACGCTTTGAGCCCAAGCTTGCTCTTGCTGTGCCAAGGGCAAATTGTTGATGGGCTTCGTCAGCTGAGGGAGATGTGCTGTGAATCCAGGGAGCGGAGGCGATGGAGCGGGGGGAGAGTGGCGAGGGACTGGAAGGGGAGGGGGAGTGGCCGCGGCGGCCCTTCAAGCGCGGCTGGAAGTTTAATATGGTGGGCATGACACTCATGTCCATCTTTGTGCTGGCGCTGGGCTTCTACCTGTGGGTCCGCATCACCAAGACCCTCGACCTCGGCCAGTACACCTGGTGAGCCGCCCCTATCTGACAATCAGATACAACCAGCAGTGTTGAAATTAAAATTACCTTCCCTAACAACGCAAATCATTGACGGCTTCAGAACATCGACGGCAGTCCCATGCTGCCTTATGCTGTGGACTGTGAGTGGGCGCACCAATTTTTCCACAGCGAGCTGCAGCATGGACATCAGTGAAACGATAGCTTAGATCACTTAATTCTGAGATTGAATTACCTTGCGCTGGTTGTTGCAGGTATGGGTGGATGGTGCTGATTGTGGAGATGCTGGGAGCGACCTCCACAATTCTGTACGGTCTCAACATCATCTTGGACCCTGTGCATGAGAAGCTGGAGATGGAGCCTGACAACCCAGGCATCACAAAGGTAGCCACTGCCTTCTGAAGTGCATGCGTTTGCCATTGAGTAACGACATGCATGCAGCAGCACCCTGTGGTGGGTGTTGAATGCAGCCTGTCCTGGCAATCATGTAGTAGATCGGCCGTCTTTGCCATCCATTGTAGAATTTTGAAAGTCCTGCCTGGACTCACTCTCGGGGTCTGATCTGGCGCAGACGAAGTGGCGCTACCATGTGCGCGTGCTGGTGCCGTGCTACAAGGAGCCAATGGAGATCACTGCGCGCACGGTGCAGGCGGCCTACAACGCCAAGCTGCCCGCCGGCTGCGACCTCACCATCTACCTGTGTGATGACGGCAAGGACCCGCAGAAGCGTAAATGGTGCGCCCGCCTTGACGCACGGAATCAGAGCTTCTGCTACAACATGGCAGTCAGAATGCGCAGCTGACAGGGGGCATTGGAATGTGCACACAGGTGTGAGCAGATGGGGCCTGAGATCATCTATGTGAGCGGGCGTATGAGGAAGGCCGGCGAAATGAACGGCAAGTCAGCCAATCTGAACAACTGCCTGTCCCACATCTACCCAGTGGGCACACCCATCCCCGCCAACGAGATCACCTGCATCTTCGATGCCGATCAGGTCAGCCATTCACTCCAGCATGCCTGCTGAGATTAAAGCTACTCTTTTATGCGCAGATTTTACGCACCTGCGCATTCTTGACTGTCCGCATGCTTGAGCAGAACAGTGTGCTCATCCTAGCAGCAGATTTGATGGCTGCTGATGCCAGATTAACACCATAAAAAGCTGAAAAGCGCTAGGAGTGTGCTACATTTGGCTTGACTGGTTGCACTTTTGTGCGCAGGTGGCCAACCCGGACTTCTTCCTGAAGACGCTGCCGCTGTTTGACGCGGGCGACGATGTGGGCATGGTGCTGTCGCCGCAGGCCTTCCACAACCTGAACCCCAGCGCGGACATCTTCAACCACGGCAACATACAGTTCTGGGAGTATGCGCAGCACGGCTACGACGCCCTCGGCTTCATCTCCTGTACCGGTGTGCATGCGCAACCTCACTCCCACGCTGGCCGATTACACTGCGAAGCTCAGATTTGTTTTGGCAACGATGATATCACTTTGATCAGAATCATTTTGGACCTGAGCAGATGTTCCTTTGACCCCTTCTCCCATGTTGAAATGCTCATTTGGGCGGTTGGAGTGTGTCAAAACAGGAATTGTTCAGAGGAAGCACGGTTCTTAGGCAATGAGCTTACTCCTGCATGCACTCCGGATGGCTGACATTTTCAGTGTGCGCTGCTGGCAGGAACCAATTTCCTGACTCGTTCGCTGGCGTTTGAGCAAGCGGGCTGGTCGCCGGAGTACACGCTGACGGAGGACTATGCGCTGGGCATGGAGCTGCGCAAGCGCAAGTGGAAGTGCCGCTACGTGGAGGAGTACCTGGCAGTCGGAGAGGCGCCCGAGCAAGTCAGGAACTGCTTCCAGCAGCGCTCCCGTTGGGCCAAGGTGCGCGCCAGCTCAGGCTCCTGCTTTTGTTTTGGAATTTACCAAGGTGTTTCAGTGTGGACCTGTGTGGAGCAGTGCGAAGTTTGTGTTCTTGCCAAGAAGAGCACGTCGTAACGTAAATTACTTTGGGTGTGTGCCTGTTGTCCAAAGGAATGTCAAATTGTACGGTATCAGGAGTGTGACAAATCCCTAAAAACTTCTCTATCAGACCATGTGGAGAGGAGGACCTGTTCAAGCTCATCCTTCTGGCATTGTTCCACAGGACTGGATTTTTTCAGTCTGCTTTTTGAGTAGAGAGATCTCCTGAGGTGGCCTGGCTGCTGAAAATCCTGGCTGAAGGAAGATGATGTGGTGAGTCAGCGAGATTGTAAACATTCACCCAAGGGCAAATTTATGAAAATGATCAAGGAAAATATTATATTATATTTGGAGCTCATTGTGGTTGTGCTGCAACAGGGTCACTTCCAGATCGTGCTGTCCAACGAGCACTGCCCGCTGTTCCAGAAGGACCTCAGCATTTTCCAGCGCCTCATGTACTGCTCTGGAGTGTGGTCCTATGTTGTGGGTGCCATCACAGCGCCCATGTTCATTGCCATCCCGCTGATCACCATCTGGGCCGGGGTCTTTCCCATTGTGGTCTCCTGGTGGGCCGCAGGTGTGTGCCCTCCCCATCTTGCTGCTCTGATTTCCTCGCTCGGTAAACATTGCCACACATTATTCTGCCATTGCTGATGCTCAAGATTGTGTGTCCTTTTGTTTTGTTTAGTGATGGCTTCTTGGCACTCAATGTGCACCAGGGATGTTTCTGATTTCAGCATGGGATTGCAATCCTGGAAACAAACTCATTGCATGGTGGCGTGATTAATTTCAACGGAACACTTCAGTACTAGGGTGTTTCTTCTTTCGGTACCCAGGACTGACTCTTGTCGTGTGTGCCGCGCAGTGGGCCTGACGGTGTACTTCCTGGCGCAATACATGGTGCTCAACTACGTGCGCAAGTTCAACCACGTCAAGCCGCTCTGGTTTGCCAACGTGGCCAACAACATCCTCTGGTGGACGTTCGTGAAGGCCTGCTGGCGTGCCGTGGGGTCGACCATGGGCAAGGGAATCACCTTCAAGACCACGCTGAAGGGGCGCGGCATGCTGATCGCCAACTCCATTGGAGACCTGTGGATGCCCACGCTCTGCTTTCTCGGCCTCCTCGCCTCCCTCGGTGCGCATACATCCCTTTTGTCCACCTCTTTGATAGTCCTTTTGCCGACAATAAGCCTTGATCAGGCCACTTGCATTGCCAGATATTCAATGCTCTGTGTCTGCCCCCTGGATGAATGGGTGAGGAAAATTTTTAGAAATCAAATTGATAAACTGGGGCAATTAATAGATTTCACCTATCCAGCATGTGGAACTGACGTGTGTGGGCTGCTGTTTGACTGCAGGCTTCGGCATGTTTAAGGTGTTCACTGGGCCGACAGTGGTGACGACGCTGTCCATATCGCTGGTGTGGATCATCTACTCCGCCATCCCCCCGTACCTGCTACTGCACTACAACTTCATCGGCCGCGGCGCCACGCTGCGCTGGGCATGCACGCTTTGCTTCTTCATCTCCTCCCTCTGCGGCATCGCTGCCATCACCCTCCTCTGGCTCGTCTACCCCACGCAGGTGCGCGCACTTTGCACATCTCTTCAATATGCTGGGGTCTGTCTGATTCATTCTAATGATCATATTCTGTTTCTTTTTGGAGGCTTGATGCCTTCCCTTGATCAGCATGCTCAAATCCTGTGATGCATGGTTGCGCGGCGGTGCTGTTGGACCATGCTGTAGCTTGCCATTACTCATGCACGCTTCAGAATCTCAAGAGCAGCACGTGACATTACTGCTAATTTCATTAACCTCTTGCGTGCAGTATGACTACAGCGGCATCATGGGAATGACGTACCGCTTCTACGATGCTGAGCGCGTGGGCGCGCTGGCGGGCAACTACAGCATCCCCTGGCGCGGCCCAGCCTTCCTGCAGGAGGTCGGCCCCAAGGCGCAGGGCTTCGGCAACATGACCGGCGGCTTCATGACCGGTGCGCTCTGCGACAAGTCTTTGCGCTGCCCTTTTGAAGTCTCGCCCTGCCAGGTTGTTGTTCACAATAGGGGCCTCCTGGCATGCTTTGTGACAGGTCAAAGTACATGTGGGGATGCAAAGTACTGTTCAAAGAGTACCTGTAAATGCTGGTCATTTATAAAAAGGAGGGTGTCCATGCTAAACGTTTTGCTGATCAGTTGGATTGAATCTGTGTTCAGGTGGGCAGGCGGGCACGCTGAAGATGACCATCCCCACGGCCTTCTCGATGACCATGCTGGCCTGGGGCATGCTCGAGTTCCCTCATGTGAGAGCACTGGGCCTCTTAGCAAAATTATGCAATTGTAGACCTCATGCTTCAACCTTCTGGCTTGTTATCATGCAGAACTTCATGTCAAGCGGTAGCACTCAGAGCCATATCGCGCATTGCCTTGCTATCAAAAGGGGGCACTTGAAGATTACAGCGCAGCAGGAAGCTGTAGCTGGGTGCTTATGTGCTCTACACGCGCTTTTCAAGCAAGGATGTTCACTCATGTTTGGCTTATTTCAGGGGTACGCAAAGGCAAACACGACGGCTGATGGGCTGCAAACGCTGAAGTGGGGCACGGACTACCTGCTGCGCACGCTGGCCAAGCAGACCAAGGCGGGGCAGCGCTACCCCGAGTACAACATTGCCTACCAGGTGCATATCAACTTCTCGCTACAGGCAGTTCTGCAGCACAGTCTTTCACAAATCCTGTGCGATGTGGCAGACATGGCTAGATGTGGAACATGAGCTATGTCTTGCATGTGTTGCACAGCTGAGGAATGGGTTACTGCTGCTGAGCACACTATCACCCTGTTGAGCGCACAAGAGGCAATGCCTTGTAAGATAGTGCATCTGCGGCTGGACAATGGCCATTGTTGGGGTTTGAGCAGTGGTGATACTGCAGGTGGGCAACTACTCGGTGGACCGCGGCAGGTGGGACCGGCCGGAGAATTTCAAGGACAAGCGGCCTGTGTACTATGTTCCCACCAAGAACGGTGCGCTGGTGTTTCTCCTTCTTTGCCTTGCTGCTGCTCATGGTTTGAGATCTGTTGCAGCATCAATGCAATTGCAGGCGGGCCTATTTTGTGAAGGCTCACCTTTTGCAACATTCTCAAACTTAAGGGACGGGAATTTTCAGAGGCCAGAATTGTGAGTCATCTCCTGGCAGCTTTGTGTTTACAAATCTTATGTGGGGCCCCGCAGGCACGTCAGACCTGGGCGGGCAGATAGTGGCGGCGCTGGCGTCCACGGCGATGGTGTTCCAGGACGCGGACTCCAAGTACTCCAACAAGCTGATGAAGGAGGCGCTGGACCTGTACGCGGCCATCAGCCGCAAGAAAGGCATGTGGAGCGACCAGTTCCTCTACGCCTGTGCCCCACCGGTCAGTGTTCCTCCCCTCCCTGTGTATGTATGTATTTAACAAACCAAAAACCCTAAATAAATATCAAATTCATGTAAAAAGAAGAAATCCGCAGCATCTTGCCCTTGGCAGACTTTGGATGCTGTGCCCCATTTGTGCCTGGCCGGGGCTGTCCTTGCTGACACCACTTGACTCCAAGTGCTGTGTACTAAGTTGTCATTGCATGTTTCTGCTATCTTGGCAGCTATTCAGGTGAATCGGAGATGACAGTGAAGCATGTTCCTTTTATGTACCCACTGCATACAAGGGGGCTTGCTCCTAAGAAGTGCATTGCGAATCAAGTACAGTTCCTGGCTGAGTCTGCTGGTGTGTGCATGGTGCAGGACCCGACCGCGACGCTGACCAACCCCATAAAGCCCTCCTGCAAGCAGCCGGACGTGGCCTTCCGCGGCAGCATGGTTTACTGGTACAACAGCACCAGCTGGCGCGATGACATGGCATGGGCCGCCAGCTGGATGTTCCGCGCCTCGGGAGACCCCAACTACCTCAGCGACGCGTACGGCTTCTACCGCACCCACAAGGACCTCGAGGGCGAGCTCGACATCCGCTACCTGGTGAGCTGCCTGATTTGGCACCTGCTTGCTGAAAAAAAAAATGCACTTGGTCATTTCAAGTGAAGGTCCACCGAATGGACACTGGGTGTTTGCGAACCCTTGCTGTGTGATTGTTGGGCAGCACAGTGTCAGAAATCTCTGTCCTTGGTGAGGTATCGCATTGGCCACCTCAAGGTCACATACAGAAGAGGGTTATTTGGAAGTCTGCATGCACAAACTGGTTGTCTCAGCCAATGTATTGGGTTGTGTGCAGATTGACTGGGACAACATGATATACCCGACGACGGTGATGCTGGCCATGCTGACGGACAACCCCCAGTTCCACAGCGAGGCCCAGGCCTACCTCCAAAAGTGGCTCTGCAGGTGACCCTCATCTGCCTCCTCCCACGTAGAATCTACACTCAACTCAGCTGAGCTCCATTGCTGAGAAGCTTGCGGGGGAGATTTATATTTTGGCAACTGAGCTGATTATATAGCCAGCATGTTCTGGCATCTGCTGGTCAGGTCAACTGTGGTTATCAAGGATGCAGCTGACATTTTGCATGTGCGCGCAGCTCTGGGGACACCATCAGCTACACGCCGCTGGGCCGCGCGTACAACCGTTTCAACCCGGCGTTGGGGCAGACCATGAACGCTGCGCTCGTGTCTGTAATCTATGGCCAGGCCATCCAGCCGCCCGCTATCGCCCCCAAGCCCTTTGAGGTCCGTCCAAATCCCTCTTACTGTAGTTTGACTTTCTGCCGCCCACCCTATAAGAGGTTCTTCGAGGGTCATGCTGACTGACTATGTTTGTCGCAAAACAGTCCTGAGTTCAAAAGCGCAGCGAATAATCATCCGTGCTCCTGTGCGCGCAGACAGTGAAGTACAGCGACGGGCTGAAGAGCCAGAAGTACATCTGCTGGACGCGCAAGCAGATGCGCTACATCCTGGGCGACCATGGCATCTCCTATGTGACAGGCCTGGGCGCGAAGAAGGGGTCCCCCCAGCGTGTGTACGATCGGGGGGCCTCCTGCCCCAGCCCGCCCCAGAACTGCAGCGCCATCACAGCGCTGTACAACCCCACCCCCAACCCCCACACCCTCACCGGCGCCCTTGTCATGGTGCGGCCCACCTCCTGCCTCCCTGCCCTCTGTCACGCGCTCCCGCTCTGTCAGTCCTCTTGGCCCAAAACTGCTGGTTTCCTTTTGCAGTGCTGTGCAGAATGTCACTTTAGGCTTCAATCAAAAAGCAGACATTTGCGCATGGCCATCTGCTGTGCGGCTTTTGAGCGGATTCTTAGAAAGAGTTGCAGTGGGGCCTGCTTACAAGCTTTTTTTGCATGGAGATTTTAATTTTACTGTGACTGTGACCGAGACTTACATGTGTCTGTTGTGGCATGTTCGCAGGACCCGCGCACGTGGGACTTCTTCGACGACAACCGGTCGAGCAACGACACGTGGGTGGCCATCGACAACAACGTGGGCCTGACTGGCGCGCTGGCCGGCCTCAACCAGGTCACGGGCACCTACGACCAGTGCCTGCAGGGCTACGGCATTCTCGCGCGCGACGCCACCATCTGCGACTCTCGCCTCTAGATTGTGCCCAGCAGAAGTCTTGCAGCACTCGAGAGGCGCCTGCTGGGATCTGCTGTGTGCTGGGAGCTGCGCACATCTGTGCATGGCATGACGGTTTTCTGTGCAAGATCCAGACCTAACGGCTTGGGGTAACACTCGCACTCTCAAGCATATTGCACTGTGCCTGTTGAAGCGCGCGACACCCTCGGAATTCAGCTCTCCGTAGTGTCTTGCAAGTCATATTTGTAAGTAAAAACAAGGCAAAGAACAAGCACATACTAATCTCTGAAGCAACCGGACAGATTTGGCAATTTTGAGCTGTCCTTTACGGAGGAATCCTCTGTGATTTCCGCATAGCACCTGGCAGATTTGAATTCATTCTCTGGCTTGAGTCAAGCAAAGGATTTTGTATTAGGTTTGATTATGAAGACGTCACCAATGCTTGAGAGGGGAGAAGAAAGTGCGAAGATCAATAGGCCGGGACACTAGGTTGCCTCGATGTAGAGCAAAGCAGTGCAATGAAGAGATCTAGGATGTTTGGTGTCTTTCAGGCCAGAGAATGTACCTCTGCCAAAGCAATAATAGACATCTTTAGTGAAGAAATGTTTCAGGTCTGTCAAAGAGTACAGAACTATAATATGCTGATGAAGTGTTGTTCTAATCTTCTTAGATGAGCAAATGCGTGGGAAGGAGGTTGAGCATGCCTCACTAGTACTATTGAGAGCAATCATGGACAAAGTGTGGCTCCCCCAGAATGTTCTGCAGCGCACCATATAATTTGCCACATATGATGCGCTGCTACCCAAGTGTTTGCTTGAGAGGATGTTTCGATGTTTCAGACCCAAAGCGAGCATGCTCGATTACCGTGAAATATGCCGATAGTTTGAGCCAAATGTAAACGGTTTAGACAGCATGCTGTGTAAGCCAGTTCAAACATTCCAATCGCATGCCTATGCGCTCAACATTTATATGGTGCAATGCATACTGACAGATCTGTTTCGCCCCAAGATGATTGTTTTGGAGCCCATGTGTTCACCCACAATGTTGTACGGCAAATGCGCCTTTACCTTCTTCTGGAAAAAGTTCCCACCCCATGGAATCCCGGAATAAGAGCCGGTTTTGGGCCTGGCCTAAGCTTGGACTACCCAGGCCTAAAGGAGTACTTGGGCCAGAAAGTAGGCCAAATGCTTTTTGACCTATATTCTGGACTGCTTTGGACCATTTTCACTTTAAAGGCCAAGGATACTATTCTAGTAGGCTATGCCGCATAGCCCATGCGGCATGGGCCAACCAAGATAGGCCTCAACCAGATCTCAGATAGGCCAGTGTGGGACATTATAGGGCCAGTCATGAATTTAGGCTCTGCAGGCCCAACTTCGGGCCAGATCAGATTTGCAAATAGCGTGCTATTCTCTGTTTACAATAGGCAGTGTAGCAATCAATGCAATGAGCTTTCAGGACCTGGACATGCTGCCATTCTCGCACATTCCTACTAAACAAGGTATTGTACATGTATTGATGCATAAACCTGAGGTTCTTGTCAGCTTCGGCCGCATGTGCATGCTTTGCGCAACAATACCTTTAGCTTTGTCAATCTAAGTCACTTAGTACGGTACTAGTCAATTTGGCTAAGGTTATTCTGCTCGTGCATGAGATGGAATCGAAAGGCTTGCATGTACCCTGTGGAGTCAGATATGGTCGGTTCACGTTGTTATTAGCTTGATTGTCCTTTCGGCCTGTTCCACCATCTGTAACGTACAGTAGTGTACACATGTACTGCTACACCATGGCCATGCAAGTGCTAGCTAGCTAGGTCGAGACACCACCACCAGCGTTGGGTTCATCGTCTTCCGCCTCATCATCATCATCTGCTACGAGCGCCTCTTTCTCGACCTCATTTTCTTTCTCCTCCGCCAGAAGAGCGAAGTCTCTGGACGGGATCTTCTTGAATTTGGAGTTTTTGGGCGCCGTGCTCCTGCCTTGGAGCCATACTCCTGCTGTGTTCCTGGCATCTCCTTGAAGCATCCCACATGGAGCTATAGATGTCCGCCACCTCCTGTGAGTATGCACGCATCTGCTTTCATGATCATGACACAGTGCACACTGTTGCTGATACGGTAGTGCTGACAAACCATCTCTGCACAGAGAATAATGCAAGGGTAATGCAGCTTCTGCAGGGTTTGTTCAATCATGAGTCGATGCTGCATGCTGCAGCTTTGATTGGCCCTGCCATGCGTGTGCTCGGATACAATTGTCAATGTCAAAGTCAAACAGCCCTGAGCCCAGGTCACACAGCGGGCTCACCTTGAGCGCATCCACGGATGAGCGCCTGTACTTCCTAATACCAAGGAAGGCTGCGTCATCGTCGTTGATCCTGAGACTTGCAATGGAGTCCTTGGCCTGTGCGTTTGCCTTAAGATTCGCCTCGGAGGCCTCGCACCTGGCCCTCTCAGGGGCACATGCTTTTGCTCCTGCACAGCAATCAATTTTCTAAGTCCCAGGTGTCATACACATGTGTACAAGTACTGACGGACACCACTTGCTAGAGCATCACTGCCTCATAAAAGCAATTAACAACAAAGTAACGCCTTGCTATCGTGTCTGGAGTACATTGAAGGTAAAAAAAATGCCCACTCTCTCACAGCTGCTTTCACATGACCGCCAGCTCTCCTTTTTGAAGGACCTCACCGTTGTTAATTTCCTTCAGCACACGTTCCAATGCGGCCTTCTGACTTAGAGTCTGGTCGCACTTGGGCTTCTCTCCGCAAAACGCTGTGGTAATCAAGTCATCGTAGGATTCCATGCTCTTTGCAGTGCTGAAAGCAATGTAACTCTCGGCAAGGGCATGGGCCATCTTTTCAACAAGAGACTGAGAACCGGTACCGGAACCGGAAACGGTACTAGAACCGGTCGAGAAGAACGGTACCTGTATACTTAGGGTTTAGGGTTAGGGTTTAGGGTTTAGGGTTTACATTTCAGGAGTGTGAGGTTTAGCCAAGTTGAAATGGCCATAAGTGGGCAAGGGAGGCCTTGTCCTAGTGCTACTCAGGCTCTAGGACTCTACTTGTGACACCAACTTGACATAAAAGTGGGGGCTTGGCCTCTGGAAGGCCCACAATACTTCAAGCATGGCTAGGCATGATGGTAGGATGATGATCAATGACCCATGATGGGCCTTCCATGATGGGTAAGGCAATCATTGGAGGTGTGCCCCCTTGGCCCCATCCCCTTTGCATCCTTGTGGACCCCAATGAGCTCCAGGCATGCCCCCTACACCATGCCAGTCAAGTGAGAGGCTCTGCATAGCTTTAAAGTAGCTTGGCTTCCAATAGTCACTATTCTGGCCATGTTCAATAGTGACTATTGTAGGGTGAGGCATGCAATAGTCACTATTCTGGCACCCCTGGATAGTCACTATTCTGCCCAGCCCCCGAAGCATGAGAATTCGCCTAAGTGCTCACGAGGTTGCTTGCTAGGTCAGAATAGTCACTATCCTAGCCAAGCTTGGGAGAAACACAACAAGGTGCTCACCTTCATCTCAACAAGGAGGCTTCACCCCGAGTCGTCGCCGGGCTCCAAGGGCTTGGCAAATCCGGAGGACCTGTGACGGCCAGAATAGTGACTATTCAGGGATGCAGGTAAATAGTCACTATCCTGGGATTTTCCTCAGGATAGTGACACCCCAGAATAGTCACTATCCTGAGAAAGAGGTGCTCCTAGCTAAGGCTTCCACAACACGTGGCCTCTTATAGACTTTGCCTAGGGACCCCAAACATTGAAATGAAACTCTTGGCACTCCTAGATTCCATGATTCCATGAGCTGGCAATCAAAAGATGGCCAAACTGGTGCAACATGACTCACCTTCTCCTCTTCCTTGTGGCCCTAGGGGGTGCATTGTTCTCCAAGTGTGTCCCCCAACTCAAGCAAGATGGCCTCACACACCATGGCTTGTTGGGGCAAGCATGGCAGCACTCATGTGCTGGTGAAGGTGGGTCCCCATGTGCCAGCCAACACGCCAGCCTGTGTACTCCAATCTTGATCCTTTGCTCATCTCTCTTGTCCACCCATTCCCACTTTCCCTTCACATGGACTCTCTCCTTGTACTTGTGTCTCCACTTGCCAAAGAGCAAGTATGGGTATCCTTCTTGGGAGACAGCCACTGGCCATGGTAGGTTCCCAGGGTTAACCCCCACACACTGCTCCATGGGCTGCTTCATTGCTAGATCCTGGATGTCCAGGGGTTGATCCCATCCATGAGGATCAAGGATGCCATTGTAGGCTTTGGCCAATACCTTGCCCACTCCCTTGCTCAAAGGAGGGGTGGCAGTGTCAAAGGTGGCCTTGCTCCACACTCCTGCCACAGCCGCTTGCTGCACAAGGTTCCCAAAGGTGTCATACAAGGTCATTGTTTGGCCATTTGCTAAAGATGGCTCTCTGATCAAAGCTACAATGTAGCTAAAGTCCCCCCAAGTGATCAAGGAGTTGGGGTCTAGTAATTGGTGCAAACCAATCCAAGGTAGATCCATAGGGTGGTGAGCAAAGGGGACTTGGTTGTATTGTAGCATGGATCACTAAGCTTGTTTGTCTTGCCAAAGGATTGCCTTGGCAAGTGTTCGACGCTCGGAGGTTCGTGTCGGAGCTTTTTGGGATGTTCCGGAAGCGTAACCGGTGACGAACTGCAGCTGAAAATAGTGACTATCCTGTTGGGTGGCTGGCAGAATAGTCACTATCTTGGGTGATTCCTTGGTAGAATAGTGACTATGCTACAGGCGAGGATAGTCACTATTTTGGCTGGTGCTTGCTTAGAATAGTGACTATTTAATACGCCATAGGATAGTGACTATTCTCCCGGGACCAGGAATCCAAATTCGTCCAAGTGCTGAAGGTGGACTTGATGCTGCCAAGTAGGATCTTGAACTCTGCCCATGTAGAATAGTGACTATTCTACTGGCAAGGATAGTCACTATTTTGGTTGGTGCCTGTGTACAATAGTGACGATTTTGCACGCTCAGGATAGCGACTATTCTCCCGGGACCGGGATCCAAAATTTGTCCAAGTGCTGAAGGCAAACTTGAAGCTACCTTGACCATCTTGAACTCTGCCCATGTAGAATAGTGACTATTCTACTTGCAAGGATAGTCACTATTTTGGTTGGTGCCTGTGTACAATAGTGACTATTTTGCACGCTCAGGATAGTGACTATTCTCCCAGGACCAGGATTAAAAATTTGTCCAAGTGCTGAAGGCAAACTTGAAGCTATCTTGACCATCTTGAACTCTGCCCATGTAGAATAGTGACTATGCTACTGGCAAGGATAGTCACTATTTTGGTTGGTGCCTGTGTACAATAGTGACTATTTTGCAAGCTCAGGATAGTGACTATTCTCCCGGGACCAGGATTAAAAATTTGTCCAAGTGCTGAAGGCAAACTTGAAGCTATCTTGACCATCTTGAACTCTGCCCATGTAGAATAGTGACTATGCTACTGGCAAGGATAGTCACTATTTTGGCTGGTGCCTGTGTACAATAGTGACTATCCTGGGTGATGCCCTGGTAGTATAGTGACTATGCTACAGGCAGGATAGTCACTATTTTGGCTGGTGCTTGTGTACAATAGTGACTATCCTGGGTCATGCCCTGGTAGAATAGTGACTATGCTACAGGCAGGATAGTCACTATTTTGGCCGGTGCCTATGTACAATAGTGACTATCCTGGGTCATGCCCTGGTAGAATAGTGACTATGCTACCGGCAGGATAGTCACTATTTTGGCTGGTGCTTGTGTACAATAGTGACTATCCTGGGTCATGCCCTGGTAGAATAGTGACTATGCTACAGGCAGGATAGTCACTATTTTGGCTGGTGCATGTGTACAATAGTGACTATCCTGCGTGATGCCTTGGTAGAATAGTGACTATGCTGCAGGCAAGATAGTCACTATTGTGGCACCAATTTGCCTAGGAAAGTGACTATCCTCTTCATGCACTCTCAGGATAGTGACTATTGCAACAACCTTCATACAGGTTGCTAAATCTCAACAATAGCCACCATGACTATCAAATCAATATAAAAATGTTTATGAGAAGCTTGTGGATGTGAGCACTTGTGTTGCAAGGCCATTCTAGCTCCTATGGGATTCCTAGCTCTAGGAGTTGCCATGCATCCATATATTGTGCACAAGGTGACTGAAACACTGCCGCTCCCCTCCCAAGCACATGGTTGGACTAATTACAATATATGTTGACTTTAGAAACCATCATGGCCATGGGATCTTGCCAAAGACATAGTGGAACACTATTCTAGCTCCTATGGGATTCCTAGCTCTAGGAGTTACACTTGCACTCAATATGTTGAAGACAACATGGCAGACTGTGTTGAACTCTTGCCACCATGTGTGTTACACTCAAATGCCACTTAGGAGCCTTGAGTTGGGCTTTTCAAAGGGTTAGGGTGTAGGGTGTAGGGTTTAGGGTGTAGGGTTTAGGGTTTAGGCTCTAGGGTTTAGGCTCTAGGGTTTAGGGTTTAGGGTTTAGGGTTTAGGGTTTAGGGTTTAGGGTTTAGGGTTTAGGGTTTAGGGTTTAGGGTTTTAGGGTTTAGGGTTTAGGGTTTAGGGCTTAGGGTTTAGGGTTTAGGGTTTAGGGTTTAGGGTTTAGGGTTTAGGGTTTAGGGTTTAGGGTTTAGGGTTTAGGGTTTAGGGTTTAGGGTTTAGGGTTTAGGGTTTAGGGTTTAGGGTTTAGGGTTTAGGGTTTAGGGTTTAGGGTTTAGGGTTTAGGGTTTAGGGTTTAGGGTTTAGGGTTTAGGGTTTAGGGTTTAGGGTTTAGGGTTTAGGGTTTAGGGTTTAGGGTTTAGGGTTTAGGG